TGGGTTGCTTAAAGAAAGAATTTGAAATGAAGAACTTGGGAAGAACAAAATTTTGTCTTGGATTGCAAATTGAATATTCAAGAAATGGGATCTTTTTGTATCAAGAAAGGTCTTAAAGCGTTTTTATATGGATAAATCACATCCATTATGTACTCCGATGGTTGTAAGGTCTTTGGAAAAAGATAAAGATCCTTTTAGACCTCAAGAAAATAATGAAGAACTACTTGGTCCAGAAGTACCATACCTTAGTGCAATTGGTGCACTCATGTATCTTGCTAGTCACACACGACCTGATATATCATTTGCTGTTAGCCTACTAGCAAGGTATAGCTCGTCACCAACACGAAGACATTGGAATGGAGTTAAGTACGTTCTTCGTTACCTCAGGGGTACTATGGACATGGGGTTATTCTACTCAAATGTACCCAAAACTAACCTCATTGGTTATGCAGATGTTGGATTCTTATCTGATCCACATGTCGGTAGATCACAAACAGGCTATTTGTTCACATATGGTGGTACAGCCATTTCATGGCGTTCTATGAAACAAACCATATCAGCCACATCATCTTATCATGAAGAAATTCTTGCAATACATGAAGCAAGTAGAGAATGTGTATGGTTAAGATCGATAATACATCACATACGAACCACTTGTGGCTTGTCTTCCAGCAAAATGATCCCGACAATTCTATATGAAGATAATGCTGCATGTATTGCGCAACTAAAGGAAGGATACATCAAAGGAGATAAAACAAAACATATTTCGCCAAAATTCTTCTTCACTCATGATCTTCAAAAGGATGGTGAAATCGGCGTCCGACAAATCCGTTCCAATGAAAATCTAGCAGATTTGTTCACCAAGTCACTTCCTTATACAACATTTGAAAAGCTTGTTCATGATATCGGATGTCGTAGACTCAGAGATATCAACTGATATTACCAAGAGGGGGAGTTAACACATGCTGTACTCTTTTTTCCTTGACTATGGTTTTTATCCCATTGGGTTTTTCCTAGTAAGGTTTTAATGAGGCAGCACTGAATAGCATATCAATAAATATGTACTCTTTTTCTTCTTCTAGGTTTTTATCCCACAGGGTTTTTCCTAGTTGAAGTTTTTTAACGAGGCACATATTTGTATAATGGACATCCAAAGGGGAGTGTTATGAATATTGTGTGGATGTCCATTTACCCCTTGCTCTTCATCTTCTTCAAGTAACTTCCACTACCTCCACCATCCATTACTCCTCCACTGCCCATTACTCCTCCACTACCCATTCACTCTTGTAACTCACCTCCATTCACATTCATGGGATTGATTATCCACTATTTGTCATTTAAGAACAATTGTACCTATTTGTAAGACTATGCCTATAAATAGGGCATGTCATTTGTGTTGTAATGCAAGTGAAGAAATACAAAAGCAATCTCATTCTCTTGTCTTCATCTTTCTACTTTTGTGGTTTCATTTTTAGTTATATTTCATAACACTTATAAACTGTTGTAGACCGCACTCGTTGATATTGATCACGGCGGTGTCTTTCCATTAGTTTCATCTCTTCGGGCCAACGTCAATTGAATAGCTGATCTTGGTTCAGACGTTAACTCATTCACCAAGGAGATAGCGCGTGTTGTCTGGGACAGGACAAGTGAGGGAAGAAAAATAACGAAGGAGAGGCTAGAGGGCAAGACGCACGTTATACACTTTTACGTGTTGTCCACCCAAAAAAAAAAAAAAAAAGACAGGAAAAGAAAAGAAGAGAAAAGGCACTGTGATCTTCCCTTCTAACCCTGAAGAAGCACAACACAACACGGGATCGATCGGCAATCGATTCCACCACCATCGTCTTTACTGAAATGTCTTCTTCTTCTTCCACTACCAGCGTCCATATCAGCGCCTTGAACGCCATCGTCAACGTTAACTCGCTCTTCACTTTGGCCGTCTTCCTTGGTTTGACTTGGAACCCCTACGACCCTAGCAACAGTCTCATTACCAATTCCAACTGCGTCGCCTCCCCTTCTATTGCCGAGAACCTCGTTTCCTTCCATGTCTACTCCTTCAGCTCCTTTCTCTTCTCCAGCCTCGTCGCCCTCGCTCTCAAGCAGGCCATCCGCCTCTCTCGCTCCCCGGTTTCCACTACCCCGTCGAGTTCTTCGCCCACATCAACAAAACTGTTCTCCGCCTCGGCATGCTCGTCTCTGGTGCCGGTTCCGTCTGCGGTTGTGGGTTCTTGATGATGGCCTTGGTCAATGTGGTTCAGATCAAGCTGGGCACCCTGGCCTGTGGCAGTGCCCACACTTATTCTGCTGTCGTCCCGCTCTTCATACTGGTTCCTTCTGCGCTTCTCATTTACGTTTCTGTTGTTTTGTACGCCTTTACTCGGTAGGATTTGTGGGCTAGATAGTGTCTTGTCGCATATCCTGTATGATTCGGCTTTGTCCTTTGCGGAACACTAAGTGTCCTTCCAGTACCTTGTATGATTAAGCTAAAATTACATTGAATATGAGTTTTTTTTGCCTTATCTCCTTCCCATTTTGCTATTCGCTTAGCACTGTTGTGATATGGAGAGCACGGGAACGCAACAAAATTGAATGAATCATGGGATGTGTCCTGTGAGTGATCTTAGAAGTGATGGTCCTTTGTAGTTCATTTTACCTACACGTGGAGCATTTAATCTAACTTGCAATTAGACTATTGTGATTTGAAAAGATACAAATGGTTGTTCCAGACTCGATCAATAAATTTTGTGCTGAGTAACAATTCAACATTCTCGTATGCTGCATCGAATTACTTTAATTATCTTCTAGCATTATCAACTATCATAAGGTAAGGAATCATTTGGATTGGACCTAAGACTAATATTGTTGGAACTGAGACCCCAGCTACAGATTTGGAGTATTTCTATCGCTTGAATACAGAGACTAAATATTCATCGTTGTGAATAGAGAAATAGGATGTTTACATTCTTGTGACACTGTTTATGGAAACTAATGTTTCTGTTAGAGAATATTAGTCTGACTTAAGCAAAAGTGATAATCTGGTATTATCAAATCTATGCTAGGCAATGGGATTTTCATTTTGTAATATTTGTGCGTGTCTGTGTGTGTGTAAGCTGACTGGTATTGACTAGTTTTTGTGCATGAAGGAACCTGTCGTAAACTAATATGGATGAGGAAAAATGAAGGTGGATTGACCTTCATAAGTTTTAAAATCTCATCGAAGAATAGCGTGTATTTTTATTTTACACCCAATAGAACCCAAACAAATACTTTGGAATATATGTGAGAAATAAGGTGACATACAAGATTAGGTTAGCAAACAGAGGCAAACCATCTGAATGATGGAGTTTTCTTTACAGAGAAAACAAGAAAAATATGTAGAAAAACAGATAATGGTGCTAAACTGCATGTGTTATGATATGCTAGTGATCTTCCGCCAAGACCACTCATGAATTCATCCATTACCCTGCACTTTGATTCTTCCCTCCTTTTAAACCTCTCGGAAACTGAATTGCCCAAAGCTACTCACCCTAAGCGTAAGATGTGTCTCCTGTTCAGTCTGCCTGAAACTGTTATATAAGAACTTCACCATAGCCTTCCTATTATGTACCTCCCTTCCTAGATCCTCTAGATCAGGCCTTGAATATTTGGGGCCCATCAATTTCTTTCTTGTCCCCTGTTATGCCTATAACCTTGATTCACATGATTTGTGAAGCATTACAAATGGACATAATTGCTATTTGTGACTGATTACTCTTATTTTCCCCTTCTTATAAATGAGATAATCATGTGGATTTTTAGTCTTCTTATCATCATTCTGAAACTCTTATATAGCAGAAAAAGTCTTTCAACTCTTTATCCATACAGTGGATTTGAAATGTGTTTCCTAGTTCTGTTTTGTCAAATTTAATTAATCACTTAACAGTTTGCCTTTGCCCCGAAATATGATCTGCTGAAAGTTTGGACAGTCTTTGGTTTACAACTTGTGATAAAGTTTAGTACAAAATCCTCCCAGCTTCCTTTGTCTTGGACAACTCCAGTTTTTTCTGTATGGTGGATTTTAAATTTGTTGTTCTCTGTTTGTCTTTGTATTACCTCTTGTCAGGTGAGTTCCACTATCTTATTTTGCGTACTACTTTTGATATCAGCATGCATTGCAAAAATATTATCTTCTGTTTGGACTTGAGACAGTCTTTAGTTATGATAAGTTTTCGTAGAGCTATTAGTGACCATAGAGTACTTCTGTCTAGAAATGTGATGGAAGCAAAATCCACTCTCTTATGTCTTCATTACCATCCTGAGTACCAGTAATTTATTTTGTTTCTCTTATAACAAGTGTGGGTTCCATGCTTTGTATGAAGTCGGACAAATGAGTTGTATTGATCATGGCTTATGAGTAATATAACTTGTTAAAATTTGTGTGTGTGTGTGTGTATAAACCATGTATCTTCTAGATGGCTTGAGTTTAGGCTTGTTTAGCTCCTCGAGTTCAGATCTAGGAATCATAGGCATTTTCTTATAGATGAAAGCAATAGAATCTGACCGTCCTTGGGTAAATTGATATAATACTTTGGTTTATTGCACCTTGTTAATATGATAGTTCTTTGACAAGCCAAAAAGAGAACTCTCACCCGGAAACTGGCTCAGTGCGGCATATTCTTTTTAGATTATAGGAGGGCTTAAAGCAGAGAGGTTGAGGTGGCTTATACATGGAATTTTATATATGCTGTTGACTTCTTATAAAAAGTAGTTGTTTGACACTTCCTTAAGGGCAAAATCCTAGTGGAAACTTTGCATGCTATCATTGGCTGAACATAGCAAGATAAAGCTTAACCTGTTAATGGAGAAGTAGGTAATGGAATAAATTAGAGCACTTCCCCTAGTGGTAGCTCCGCCAAGAATTGTGGACATCACATATTGGCACCTTTCTATTATCCTATGGACTATAAAATGCTGTCAAGTGAAGTTTTATGAGCGGGATTAAGGAAACTCAAGCTCCAATGAATAACATTCTTTTTTTAGTACTTGTGATTCTTGGCCTCATAAACCATAGTGAAGTTTATGGGGCTGGTGTATGCGGAATATCTTCCCCTGAGAGAGAGGCCTGGAAGCTGGCTCCTTGCGTTACAGCAGCAATGGATGAAAATGCTCCAGTTTCTGAGAGGTGCTGCAATCAAATAAAGAGACTAGGCCAGAAAATTGCTTGCCTTTGTGCTGTTGTGCTTTCTAGCACAGCCAAAATTGTTGGGGTCAAGCCAGAAATCGCAGTCACAATTCCAAAACGTTGCAGTATTGCTGATCGTCCTGTGGGTTATAAGTGTGGAGGTCTGCGATGCTTCATTGCAATTTATTCATTTCTGTATGAAATATCAAACCACCTCTCAGTAATATATGGCAATACTGATCATTGAATTTTCCTTCTCTTCTTTGTTTACGAAGTGCCTTGAAGGGGTAATAATGTTTGTGAACATGTCAAAATATGTGGTGCGGATTTCTTGAAGAATGTGAATTATAATTCACTTTATATTGGAGGAGTCCTTTGTCATGTTTAAATAAAGTAGCTTAAGCCATATATATTGGATAAGCTTCATTATTTTGTCTCTACAGAAAATGATTTGCTTTCATTATTTCAGCGAGAAGAATGGAAAAATTTTCTTTTAGCCCATAAGGAAAATGGAACTAAAGGGTGTTTGGAAAACCATAAAGTGCTTTTAAAAAGTATTTTTCTGTAAAATTACTTTTATTTTATATGTCGGAAAATCACTTTTAAAACTATAGCTTCGTATCCATCCAGGTACTCCTTCATTCAAACTCAGTTTAATCCCCTTTCAAGGAAGATGTCAATTTGACACCCCAAACCTTTTTTGTGAGTATTACACTGAGTACAAACAGAAAAGGATTAGGCTTACCAATGAACTGCTAGGGTCTGCGTTTATTTGATGGTAAGATAAGATAAGATGTCTCAGTTTTATGTCTTTAGTGTACTGTTGAAAGAGCAGATCATATAACGCACATCATGGAGTAAGAAGCAGAATATTTAGGGTTTGATTTTTTGCCAACAAAATATTTAGAGTTTAGTGAAGATTAACATTTGTACCGAGTAATTAACCACGCGGGATATAATTTAGTCTCAGACGAGTAACGAGTTTCAATTATGTAACTGAAGTTTTAGCAATCAAAACTTTTAATGTGCCAAGAATTAAAAATTTAAAGAGGACAATTCTTTGGGTGCAATGACAATTTGGTATCTGGCGGCACCGGTTAATCCTTTCTAAAGTAAGGATAATATTTTTTTTCTTTGGGGTTTAAACCGTAAAATAATTGTGAACATAAAGTGTTTTGCTTACCGCTTTGTTTGTTTTTTCTGTTTCTTTTTTAATTTTTTTTTTGGTTTTAGTAATGGACCGATCTTTTATATATAATATTTTTTCACTTAGTTTGATAAAATTATTTTGTATTAAAAAATTTAAAAATTTTAATTGAGGGATTATTTTCTTACCAAATATAAATAAATATAATAAAAGAGTGATGAGTGTTATTGATTTATTGCATGAAAAATGTGGAACTCGTTTGTTTATGAAAATTTTGATGAATGATGGCCTGACAAGAATTTTTTCTTCTTGGCCAAAAACAACTTGCGGATAAAATATCTGGCAAAATTTTGCCTTCATTTCAATAGTTAAGTTTCGTTAAAACTGATTTATCTTACTGTGAGTTCATTGTCTCCATCCTCCGGGGAACTCTATCCATCCTCTTCCCCTGCGCCTTCATGAAAAGCCCTTGGTTTCTTTCCTTCCTCGCTTAAAACCTAGCTCCTTCTTCCCTCGTTTTAAACCAGTTTCGTACTTTTTGCGAGAATAGCCCATCGACGTTCGTTTCTTTCCTCCCTTGTTTCATCAACGGCTTGCTTTCTGAACTCGTCTTCCGATCCCGCCATCTATGCCGTCGCCTAGCGAGGTCCGTTTATTTTTCGTCTCTTCCACTCATCTTTCTTACTGATGTGTGTGTGTGTGTGTGTCCCCCCCCCCCCCTCCCTTTTAATGTGCTGCTCTATTCCCCTCCCCCGTCGAAGAGACATCATCAACTGTCATTCAAAAAAATGGTTACACACTTTCGCTAATAAAATTGCTGCTCTTTAAAATACCCCATTTTTCATTTCTTGTTGCGAAGTCCATTTCTTGCTTCTCTTTGAGAAGGTTGGTTTGTCTATGCTGTCCGTTTTCGAGCTTGCAAACAGGAACTTTGTTGGTACCATGAATGTGTTGTAAGCTGCATTTTCCGTTTTTGTTTATCAATATATTTTTATGCATCTTGTCTCTGGTTCCTTCAATTGTTTCTGCTAAACTGACTGAATTTTGGAGCTAGCTTAGCTTCTGCTATTCACAAGAATAAGCGTAGTAAATACTGGAAATATGTATGGAGCTGCGCTTTGAATGTATAAAATTATTCTCCATGGATAATGCGTGCCCAGCCTACAAGGTGAAAAGAAACAATCTATTGTGATCTTGAAGTAATGCATTCTGACTTTGGACCCCCCCCCCCCAAAAAAAAAAGTTAGCTGGTCATGTTGTAAAATTGTAAAGGCTAGAATCGTTGTGATAATTCGTACATTTGTCAGTGTAATTTGGTTTCATGCTCAAAGGATTACTTCTTTCTTTTGTATCCATATTCCATATGCCATTCAATGATTCTATTTCTCAGAGCTAGTCAATGTGCGTACAAAACTCTTTCTAGCGGTTACAAAGATGAGTTTTTCTATTTTTTTTAAAAACTTTTCTCTATTAAGAATTATAGGCCATTTTCTAATTTTTGGAGGGGGTGGGTGTGGCCAGAACAATCCCTGCAGGTTTGAGCATGGGGAAGATGAGAAAAACCTACAGGAGTGGGGCAATCTATAGGTGAACGTAGCAGGGGTGGGTGGTGAAAATGTGGCTTTAATTTGGTCCATTGCCTTCCCTAACATGAAACCAGATCATCTTTTTGTTCTTTAATTGGTTTTTAATCAGAAAATTTGACGCATCTTGTTTTTAGATTGAAATGTTGTTCTAAAATCATGTTTTTTAGATTGAAATGTTGTTCTAAAATCATGTTTGACATTATTGTTTTGAAGGTTGTTTAGCTTGAGAGCTGATGCTGGGGATTGCTTTTTAAGATGGATCTCAGCCATATCAGATGTGAGCTTTTACCTAGATCCCTTATCCCATCCTTGGCTAGCCTCCAACATTCCTTTCTGAGGCCATTCTCAAACCCTTTCTGCAAGGCCCCAAGCCTAAAATTCCAAACACCAAAACATTTTGTAGTTGTCTCATTTTCTCAAAACCCTAAATCAACTATATCCTCGATTGTCAGCCAAAATCCTGTATATACTGCTCGAAATAATGCATGCGAGCGAGACGTTCGGTCCTTTGCAGGTCGGAAGAAGAAGTCTGGTGGTTCCTCAACTGGGCGCACAGAGGGCAAGGCTGATTTCCTCCGTCAGTTGAGGCGCAAGCCTAGGCAGAGAGCTAAGAAATATGCTGAGTCCTTTTTCTATCGCTTGAGAAATCCACATGGGAACTATCCTGATAACTTCTCTGAGGATGAGCTTCAACAAATTGGTCTTGGGTATGATCGGTTTGTCAGATTTATGGAGAAGGATGATCCAAATTTGCGTCACCCAAATGATTGGTATAAATATGGCCAATTTGGACCTTACTCATGGCGAGGAATTGTCCTAGGTGACCCAGTTCGTGGTAGATTTACTGATGAGCGTGTGACAATAATAAATGAAGTTAAGGATCATGAGGAATGGGAGAAAATCGAGCAATTTGAAATGGCTTCTGAATTTGGGAAAAGAGTGAAGCAGATGGACAAAAGTAAAGGATTGAGGTACTTTTGGGTATTCGTGAGGCACCCAAAGTGGAGACTTTCTGAGTTACCCTGGCAGCAGTGGACGTTGGTTAGTGAAGTAGTCCTTGAAGCTGGTAAGCAGAGGTTGGATAAGTGGAGTTTGATGGGTAGACTTGGAAATAAGGCAAGGTCTTTGATAACACAGTGTGCAGCATGGATGAGACCTGATATAATATATGTAAAGCGGCCAGTGTATCAATGTAGGTTTGAGCCACAGGATAACTTTTTTAATGCACTTATTCCATTTCTCGATCCCAGTACAGAACGTGATTATCTTTTTGAGCTAGAAAATGATGATGGGACTGTTGAATTGTGTACTTATTTTGGTGGGTTGTGTAAAATTGTAAAGGTGAACCAAAAAGCATTTGTTGATGATGTGGTCAATGCGTATCAGAAATTGAATGACGAGAAAAAGTCAAAATGTCTAGAATTTTTGTTGAAGAATCATCCAGTTCCGCTTTTACATCCATATACAAAGGAGTGGAAAGCTAAGTTGGAAGAGATGGAGCTGGGCTGCGATGCTCCTGATGATGACAGTGATGATGCGAGTGTTGATGATTCTGGTGAAACTGAGATCTTAGATTGGATTGAGGATGATGAAGGTGGCGTTGATGGTGAAGGCATTGCTGAGGATGATGATGAGGATGATGATGATGAGGAGGAGGATTATGGTGATGGTGGCGATGATGGCCAAGATCTAGCTATGGACATGGAAGATATTGGAGACGGTGAGGAAGATACATCTACAGAAGATGATGGTGTGAGCTGGGAAGAGAAGCTTCGAAAAGCCCTTAGTAGTGGAGAGGCAATGGAAAGGCTAGCAAAGGAGAGTGTAGAGTTCACCTCAAAGTTATACAGTAAACACTCAATGACAGTAGAGGGTCAGGGAGAAGAACAGAAGCATTCATTGGATGGAGATGAAACTGCCTTGAGAGGCAAGCGGGCGAAGGTTAGTCCAGATGAGTGGAAATATGCTGGGATTGGTCCATGGAGGAAAAAGGTTAAGAAGAGCAAACTTCCTCCAGAGTTGTTTTTGCGAGCAGCTGTTAGACCATTCACATACAGAAATCTGGTTAAAGAGATTGTTTTAACTAGGCATGCAATTTTGGATGGTGACATAGGTAGGAAGGTTTAAGCTAGTTTCCTTGTAGAGATGCTATGTTTGTGTAGGAATGATGCGTACAAGTCTTCCTATGGCTTGGAGAATACTGAAATTTTGTGATGACTGCTGCGGACGGATTTGTTTGATATGCACCTAGTTGCTGGGAGCAATATTAGTTGTTGTCTCCTACGTTTCATCAAACATAAAAGCTAGAGTTTAAAATTTGTTCAATCTAGTTCACTTTTGGCGCATTTAGATTCTAAAAAATCAGCTTGCTTTTCATTTCTTAGGTTTACTGGCATTTTTTCAAAGAAAGATTTTATAACTTTTCTACAGGGCTTAGTGCCTCGTCTATGATTGTTTTTCTTTTGTGAAACAAGATGCCTAGAGAGGCAGGGTACAATCACTGGCTATTCGACCAGATGCACCTAGACGATTTTTATGGGGCAAATGAATGCAACCAACAGGTGGGGAAGAGGGGAAAAAATATGAACATCACAAGGGAGATCATAAGAATGAAGATTTCCTTGTAAATGGGCAGAAGAGACCCTTGGTAGTTTCCTCCATATGACCATGTCACTTCAATTAATTTAATCTTTGATTAATGTTTATAAGAGCATTTCCGATTATGTTCACTTGTCGTGTACAAGTTATATCTAGTGTAGCATATATATGTTGACTATAGTTCAAAAGCTGTGAAAAACTATGTTTTAACTTATGTTCACTGTACTATAAGATGGGAGGGAGGATTGACTGATGCTGGTTGACTAGTCCTTCATTAGAAACTTAAGAATTGGTCAATTATAATTATAATAAATTGAGAATTATGAGATTTCACCACTATGTATAACTTCTTTGAGCATTGACTAATGGCTCCTCATGACCTATTAAAATGAACCTTCTAAATGTTTTTTTTCTGCCAAGCACATAAAAAGTAAGAATTCGCAGCATGTTACACGAAAATAGGAGGTTTGTCTCCCCAACAGGACCAAAACAACCCCCCCCCCAAAAAAAATTGGGAAAAAAATTCCCACACAGCTTCACTGGAGGCCCCAAATGGCTCCACAAACCCACAGGTCACAGCATCGCACCCTATGGTTTTAGCATTTCCCTGGGTGTTACCAACAGGAGTTGGTCCAAGTGATAAGCGGCTTGTACTGCTTAAGCGAGGTCTCGAGTTCGAGTCTCAGTGTATGCAGAAATCCTTATTAGGAGACTCACCCACCACAGCCAGGTGCGCGACGCGGGTCGGATCCAATGTAGTTAGAGAAAACTCCGTGAACTGGGTGGGCAACCAAAAAAAAAAAAAAAGCATTTCCCTGTGAGTTGAGCTCCGTAGTCCATAGTATGACAGAATAAGAATTTTAATGTTAATATTAATATTATTTTTACCTTCAATTTATTTTGATGGAGATAATTATATAAGCCATAATATAATTTAAGATAAAAGGTATTATGGTAATTGTGATATTTTTTTTCCTTTTTATTTTCTTCTGTACATCCAAAGTCCAAACTTAAGAAGTGATATTTAAATTTTTTCTCTCTCTTCATTTTCTTTTCTTTTCTTTTTATTTGTTTTCTTTCAACTTTTCTCTCCATCGAAGCGGATTATTAGCGCCTCTCTGGCAAGATGTTGGTGAGCAAAGAAATTGAGGAACAACTGGCAGATGAAATAAACAAAACCAAGGAAGTAAGCAGAGATCAAAGATTGGCAGAAGAAATGGGCAAAATCGGGTACCGATTGAAGTTCTCAATCAGGTACAATTTAAGAATATATCCTTCTTTAAGTGAGTCATTTAGTTTATGCCCATAAACTGTTTGAATCGATATCTCTATTAGAACAATGGAGCCTATGGGCGAGGTCTAAATATAATATCGGAAGTCCGCGGTATTACAAAATTTAACATGTATTTTGGGTTAATTTTAGGACTCCATATGCATAGCATTGAAAGTTCATAAAGATCAAATGCTACTTTATAAAGTTAAGGGGAAAAAAACAGAAACTTCAGGAAAGCGCATGCTTTTTTAAACTTGAAATTGAGAAGGATAGACACCAGAGACAGCAAATAAGCTGGGAAAGTATGCGAAAAGTTTAATTAGTTTGTTTAAGAGGCATTAATCGCTGGATGTTACAATAATGCCTTTTTTTTTTCTGGGTGGGGGTCCATATGGCCGAAACGATGATGATAATGCCAATGCACTAGAGGCCAAATCTCAAAACAGTGAGACACAACGTCCTTGTATTCTACCATATTCTTTTCTCTTGTACTTGTCAATTTGCTTAACACTAATTCAGTGGTAATTCCCCCAGCCACTCACCCGTACACTTCAACACATTTCCGCCTCATCCTTGTGCCCTACCATCCACTACCCTCCACACACTGACAGTTACATGCACTACCACATAGCATGTGTCTACATACACTTTTGTCTTCTCCCCTTCAAATCTTTACATATAGATATTTGTCTTCATCCCTTCAATCTTTATTTCAAGTTAGATTATGAATCCTTGATTTGCATAGAGTCTGAGAATCACACTATTTATGATTTATAAATCTTATATTATATAAATATATGCACATTGAGAATATATGCATCTCTCCATTATATACTAAGTTAACAACTGAGAAGCCATTCGTTTTGTTTCCATAATTGGAGTACAGCTGAACATGTAATATAGGGAGGCACGTATGTACACACAAAACAGGGAATCTTGAAATTAGCCATAGTGAGCTACTACAATTTCTATGTCCTTAGCTCTAAAGGACTACATAGTATATGCAGTACACATACAGCGTTTTAAGTCTACAGGTTAAGATTAGTTATACCCACATGAAACCTTTTTCCCGGAAAAAGACAGAAAACTAGAATACTATGTATTATTAACATGGTATCAAGGTCTGTTGACTGCTGTTGGATCAGTGGATTACCACCTAAAGTAGCTATTAAGGACCCACCTCCAAAACAGTACTTGGTATCGACAAAGTTCTGCGTAGCACGCTGCACTATGTTTTATTTGCATAACCCTACCAACATTATCCTGGGAAAAAAAAGAAAAAAAATATTTGGCAAATGTTAAAATTCATATGGCAAGAAGCTAATCGCAAATCGAAGTTGGCATACCTGGTCAGGACGGTGGGTTTTTCTTGTAATATATAGGGTTAAGCTAATAATAAAGGGAACCTGCAAAAGCACGGGAAAGTGAATAATACTTGTCTTTTGCTTTCTAGATTCTTTCAAAGCTTTTGATCATCGCTTGATCTACTGTACCTTGCCACCAATTTCCTCTTGAAGCGCTGTTTGGATCGTTCCCATTGGGATCATCGTTATCGGAATCTTTCTTAACCTGCCAATTTAAATTTAAATTTCAAATCAAAATGTTACATCTGGTTGGTTAATCAAAATATTGTCAATGCAATAAATTATATGGGCATAATTGCATTTGTGGACTTTCAAGTTATTATAATATTTTAGGGATGCTGATGCACATGCTGATGGAAAATACAATAAAAACTTAAAAAGGTGTTTGACTTTTATGACTTACTTTGAAACAACGAAATTAGCGTTACATCATCTTCATATAGAACCAGCTAGTTATTTATAAGTTACATGCATTAACACATTTGAATTTTTACATAGCTTAGCAATCCCATGTGAATTAATTGGATTTTCTTTAAAATAGATTTTTATATACCCTTATATGTCAACATTATCATGTAGAGACCATATATAGAAGAACAATTAGAGAGAAACCAACATTATGGTGGGAATCAGTGGTCCTGGATTTTGGGAAATAATTTTCTTGACCACCATAGTAGATGGATGAGGTGTAGTAGTTGCTGGGCTCCATTGTACTCTCATTCTGATAATTCTTGCCAGATACGCCACCACTGCTTTCACCTTTGCCACCTGACACGAATCCAACTGATGAGATCATTTCCAAATAAATTCAGACATTTTAGACTAAACCCCATAAATATGCTTCCCTATGTTATGTACACAGCATTTGAGACCAAACAGTGTGGATGGACTGAACAAGGTATAGCAATATGAATTGCAGTAGACATACTGAACTAATTACTATAAATTACCCAGATGGGTCTTTGTCGTAAAAGGAATAAAAAGGTGTTAGAGGATAATTCAGGACGAACCTACTGCTCCATAATTTTTGCTTCCCAGATCTTGCTTTCTCGAGTCACTCCCTCCTACCTGAGTTGGAAAAGAGTGTCAGATTCAGTGTATGACTATATATGTATACGCAAATACCTCATGGATAAAATCAGAAAGTGTCCTAAAAGGAACTATGCTGTCAATAATTCGCATCAAGGTGGCGAAAAAGTGGCATGCTGCATGCTAGCTATACTAACTTCGACGACTATAGAGTATGGAATCGAGATGATTAGCACCAAAATGTAGTAGCTGAATATATATGACGACTTGGAGAAGCATCATCTTTATGGTGTATTATGCAGAAAAAGTATAATGTCACCGTAAAGGAGAAGCCATGTCCATTGACCTTGGTAAAACCGTAAAACTAGCTAAGGGGTAAAAGAACAGTTTTTGACTGAATCATATTAGACCCATTAACCAACCACTAGTACTATGTACATGCTTTGACAATAATCAGAAAAGCTCTAAACTGAGCAGAAAGGATGCATACAGCAGATGAGGGAGGAGGAAAAATGGAGCCGAAGATGCTGGAGGAGGATGAGAAGGTAGATGAGGGGTCCTTGGGACCAAAAAGCTGATCAAAATTCGTGGATGAAGAGGACCCTCCGACATGGCTTTTGTTGTTGTTCTTGTTCTCCATGGGAAGAAGCAAGGAAGAGTATAATAATAATATCAGTATAGCTATGGGGCAGGTTTTGGTTTTTTAAAAGAAGGAGCTTTCTCTGTCAACCAACGAACAAAACTACTAGTTCGATGATAAGTATGGGGCGTAACGAGAAAAAGGAGGAAACGGATAAGATTTGCAGGGAAAGTGGCAGAGGTAAGAACAGAGAGCACGTGAAGATGGAAGAAGAGGATGTGTATGAAGGATGGAAGAGTAAGGAAGGGGTATTTATAAGCCCAAAAAATATGCTGTCACCCATGTGCTATCATTCAATTCCATCCTTTTCCCTAGTCGACACATGGGTGCCTTATTGGTTCCCAAGTGGACTCGATGCCTGCCGCCAAACCCATCTGCCACGTGTCCCCCCTCTTCTGAAATCTTTGACCTCAGCCATTACTGCTGTCTGCTCCTCCATTCTTTGATCCTTCACAATCACAAACACCACGTCAACTAGCCTACAACATATCATGGATAAGGAAGTGTTTACCTCATTGCTCCATTTGGGTTACAAACCAACCATCACTCCCCATGAGATGAGCCTAAATTTTGAATTTGTTTACTTGTCCTCATGAATTCTTCGCATATTTTTTTATATAATTTTTTTTCTTTTCTCGATCTATGATTCTATATACTTAGATTAACTCAAGTACTTATGTATCATTGTATTGTTTGGTATGTATGTAGCTGTTGGTTTTTATGTTAGTTTTAAAACTTATGATCTTGTTTTATGTATTGCTTTATTATTGTTTTCTGCTGGTTGATTTTGAGAGTTGTTGTGATCGATGATGATTAAGATGGCATGTATTTGAACTCTTTTTTTTTTTTTTTTTGGGGAGGGGGGCGATAAAAGAATGATAATTTCTCTTAAAGGGATGTGAAGTAGTGATATACTATGACTAGACAAACTAAGATTATAGACATCAGACCTTATTTGTATTTCTGATATGCCTTCAACCTTTATGTGAGAATTGAATTGATGGTGACCGTTAAATCTTAGTGGAGCCGGGTGTGGACATATTCAGTATTCTGTCCTAAACAATTTTGTTAATTTATTCCGGTACGACTACGAAATTTAATGTATACGAAGTTGAGAAAAATGGGATCCATTTTTCAAATCTTAGATAGTTACGATAATGTCTTGTGTATTTGTATAATTATATTGTTCATAAATTACAAATATCATCACTTTTTATAACTGCATAATCGATATGAAGAAGGGATCCGCGCTTGTACTCCTTTGGACTCTTTAAGTAGGTCAGATTTTAGAAGAAACTTTTACTCCTAAATATACCTGCATGAGCTACCTTTAGTTCTAAATATAAGATCTACTTTGTAGTACTGCAAGTCAATCTTATATTTAGGACTGGAGATAGTATTTTTTGAAGAAAAAAACCCTTTTGTTGGGGCAAATTTTCAGTAAATATATAGAGAGGGTTGTTTTTAAATTTACAGAGTTAAATCAGGTTAAAGATAAAACCTCGTTCAATTTTGGGATAATTTCAATGAGCTAAGCTAACGAACTTTTCTTATTAATTAGTTCGGTAAAAAAAGTTTAAAATGATGGACATTGATAAACATCTATAAAAAAAGTTATAGTATCATTTCTGAGTTGTGAAGAATGTGATTTAGTTCAGTCTTTTGTGTGTGTGTGTGTGTGTAACAAAAATCACATGTAGTTAAATAATTTTTGGATGCAGAAGATTGAGAATGGTGCGTGAGCATATATCATCAATTTCTGTGACGCAGTTCATTTCATTTTCGTAAGGTTTGTGTGGAACCTAAAATAGTTGAAGGAAGGAGTTATTCATCATTCTTGTTTGTCGTAATCCTTTGAAATCGAATCAATAAAGAAAGTTGAGATGCCACGATGATTTTGGTTCGCTTTGGTCTTTATAGTGATCATGGCGGTAGCAAAAGGTGGGATAATTTTAAGTTAATTAAGCCCATCTAAATAAACTCCTATGATCAAGCAACATTAATCCATATTAAAATCAATTTTTTCAATTTAAGTTTTTATTTTTCCGTAGATATGGGGATAAGATTAGTCTTCTAAAGTGTCCAAAAAATTGTTAAAATTATGTCTTTTGTCATTGCTGATTTCTTAAGGCTTTCTTTATGTCGCAGGAAAATTAAATTTTGTTAAAAGGAAAAGGTGATTTCTTCGTTAAGTGAGCATGAAAAAGATACGACTCCCTGGTTAGATAGAAATTAAATTAAAGGCTGATTTTTCAACTTAATGTATGTAATATTCGTTCAAGTAACCTGGGAATCATTAGCTTGGTCGGATAGTGACCATATTTTATTAAACAAAATGGACTTTTTTCAAATTTCTCGGAAATCCGTGTTTGGAAAGATAAAAAGCTAAAAGGTGATTAGGCCTACAAAAGAATAATCCACAGAGGATAAAGCACTTTTTAACACATTAAAATTTTAATAAGAAGGGTCAAGGGGTCAACTAAAAGAATTGAGCACCTCCCCCTTAAAAAAGAAGTTAAGACTCCAAAAATATAAATTGAAGGACAAAATTTAAATTAAATTAAAAAATACATAGTATAATATTATGTAGATTGTTGGCGAGAAAAAGATGTGAATTGATAAAGTGCCTCTCCATTTAATCTCTATCGTTAATATACACATTTAGGACTTTTTTTAAAAAAAAAATTGTTTATAAGAAATCTAATAATTGGTCAGTTTCTTTAAAGTATACCCTCTTTTAATTTACAATGTGTTTGCCTTTTATCATTTTTTTAGACTTGCATTTTTTTAAATTTCTTTACCTCTCCTTTTTTTTCCTTGAATGGTGAGGATATTAAATGGGTGATAATTTAGTTAATGATGTATATATAATAATTCTTTAAATCAATTAAAGATTTCTTGATCTATCTGTCACCTTGAAAAATGATAGATATGTAATTGAGGAAGTAATTATACTATATATTATATAATAAGTGAAGGATATTTGATATAGCAAATGAACTAGAGCCATGTGTGATATCCACATGGATAAATCACCACTAGGAACATTGTTAATGATGTGATCAGAAAAAAAATAGTGGATATGAATATATATAATCTGAGAGAGAAAGTAATGATTATCGCAACTTTGATTACTATGATTAGTGGATAATGGTGGGATCTAGATACCAACCACTTGGTTAGTGATCAATCATGACCACTAAAGTTAAATACCCTATGGCTAGGTCTTTTAATGTCCACACAAGAATATTTATCGTTGAAATAATGCATTGAACTAGATAAGGCCCAGTTTGAAACGGAACAGGAATCATTAAATCGAACATATCCGATTACAACAACTCTATATTATATATGAATGATTATTAATGCATTAATTATTGTTAATTTAAAAACAAATAAATTAATTAGTTAGTTACTAATTGCCTGTAGTGATGTTCAATCAATTAAAATGAAACAAAAGTCTAGAAGAGTTTCGTGCTTTCAATATATGGAGCACACAATCCTAGTTAAATTGATTGGTGGGAAAATCAATTAAAGGACTTAATTCAAGAGGTTAGTTAGCCAAAAAGATTATATTCAGACGTTAATCAGTTAATTTTTTCTTGGGTTAAGAATATGCCTCCAGGAAAAGAAGAGATTGAGAAAACGAAAATTTGGACTGGAGAGGGAGATATTCTCTGAGAATTATACTATGGAACATACAGAAGGTCTCTCCATTCTTGTAGGGTTCCTTTTGGATAACAGAAATGGCACATGCATGCATTATTATTGGTAATATATATCTTGTCAATTTTGAAGCAAAATATATGAACTTGTTTCCCATCCAGATGCTGGTTTAATATTTTTGGAATGTGCTACAAGTCCCTGGAACTTCCCACTTGCTTTAAGAAAGAAAGGAAGCACGATCGGTTGTAAAATGATATATAGCAAACCATGCCCAATCCAATTTTTGGGGATATAATGTGAAGTTTGTGTGAAAAAATCGAAGAAAAGTCTGGACAGAGTCTTATAAGAGAGTTTAAATTATTATACTATAAAATAAAATACATCACAAATAACATTATTACTGTTGATTGGATGAAGTATAAAATATTTGATATCACGTAAATAAGGTTGTAGGTTCAAAGCTTATAAATAGAAAAAAAATTATATTAGCTAATTGTCGCATTTAAGTTCGACAATAATTAAGTTTAATAAGTATTTGGAAGCTTTCTTTTCATTATTTTCTGATAAATATAATCTAAACCATCTATACAAACCAAACAAAGTTTTTTTGTGTGGATATTATTCATTAAATGAAATATTACCACTTCTAAGGCCACGTTAACACAAATTAACCAATTCAATTGCACAAATGGTTCAAATTATTGCGTCTAGATGGAAAATTGCACAAAGTATATATGTGTAAGGCTGAAAAGTATCTGATTTGAAATAATATAATTATAATTCAAAATTGAATAATACAAAAACTTCCTCACCACTAAAACTGGATGCTATACCAATGTAACCACCAGTATATATAATCTGGGGGAGAATTTTGGCCACATGGTTGGTTGGTTTGTCAACGGTCAGCGAGCCAGAGTAATATAACCATTTCCATGCATATTGTTGAAGATATGAAGATGCTATTCGCATAAATCTGTAACTCGATTGACTTACAAGTTGTTTGCTTCAATTATATACCAAATCTCATCCATGGAATATGGATTTGTGTGTCATTCATTCCCATTGTCGCCTATTTTTTCTGCATCTTTTTGTTCCTTGGAATCTTAGTACTCACATGTCGTTTCTTTGCTTTTATTCCATACATCTCCTTCGACCCCGCTTGTACTTGCTTGAATCTCGACCTCAACATTATATTTTTTGACAAGAGAGACCATTCTTATTAATCAAAAACCCAACACTCCTCCTTACTTGTGTTTCAGATTTCATCTCTCACACCTACCATCTTGAAGAATATTGGTCTCATTCAGAATTTGATTATTAAGCCTTTTAATTAAGGCCGCTCACGTCTATATATTCAGCTACGCATGCAGGAGTTTTTGTCATATAAGTAAATGTTACTACTTCTGGTTTTTAATATAAAAACTAGTTTGACTTTCAATTTAGTCCTAAATATAAGACCTCAATCTATTTTGTCTCTCATATTTATTTATTTATTTTTTTCAAAGTGATCTTTGTAATAGTTGCATATATTAAAAATTTCATCAAATGGTAGTTCTAGCTAATACAAATGAGTAGTAAGGGTATTTTAGAAAAAATAATATCTACTTATTACAAATAACTAATTTAACTAATTTTCTTAATGTATTCAAATTAGTCAACTAGTTTTTATATTAAAAACCGAAGGTAGCAAATTAATTTTAGAGCAAAGTATCATCTCCTGTTGATGATGTTTTTCTCAATTGCATTTGGCCAATACCTTGATGTTGGTTTTTTTATACTTTCAATACCCTCATCTTATTTATGATTTAGAATGTTGGATGTAAACGGACTATAATATTAGGGGTGTTGGATACACTAAAAAAAAAAGTAGATGCTATTGGACCCTTAATTTATTAATGTCATGCGTGATGGTCAATGAAGAGCTACAGGGATCTATTACCATATACTTTTATGGATCACTGAGATTTAAACATACTTAATTATATTATCTATCAGATGACATGTAATATATGTATCCGGGCCAAATTTAAAAATGCTAAACAATTAAAGCGGCGTATTGAAAATACAGGTTTGAGTAAGATATATTTATTACTTTCTGAATATCGGATCTTGGTATATGAATTTGACTTTTTATTTGGTCCTATTATAAGACCCAAGATTATATTTATGCATTTTTTTCCAAGATTTCTAATAATGATAGTACTATAACTTGGATTTTATTATAAATAACCAACTTAACTTATTTTTAATCTCTATAAGTCAATTGGGTCTTAGGAGTATAAGATCTATTGATAGATTAAGAAACTTAGGTAAGTTAGTTAATTATAAAAAAATATATGTATTTTTAAAACATCATAATCATTTCCTTAATGTCCTCCCTTCTTTCTACTTGATTATAGTTAAGTAAATATTTATAGAGATAATTTAGAAAAATTGATAATATGAGAAATAGTCTTATATTTAGGATCAAAATCAAACTTAATAATTAAGTCTTATATTAAGGATGGGAGGAGTATCTATATATATGGTACCCCTTTTACCTCATAAAATATCTATATATATGTTCAATGACAGCCAAGCGAAGGATGGTCCAGGAATATTTGGATAGACAGAATAAATCACCACAATAATCTTGACGAATACTTCTCGTGTATGGGCAAAATTGAGATTGAAAATTATTGAGCAAAATTATCAATGGGAAATCATCAAAAAAGTGTTATTCGGATTTGATGATTGAATATATAGTTGTCGTTATGGAGGTGATTAAATTAAACTAAGCTGGATTGGTTGAAGATAAGAGAGAAAGTAATGGACAAAGAGGAAAAGTTGATGAGTCAGTACTGAAAGCAGCCAAAAACACACAGAAGAAGAGCTTCAAATAGAAGCATGAACAAAAGGAGTAAGGTGGGATTAATTAATTGCCTTTTTTTTTTTTAATCGAGACTTGGAGGTTACAAATAATTCTTAATATATTACAGATATTGATAATTATTCGCATTCCAATTCCACTTCCTTTAAAGCTCTCATCCAAAACCGTGTACTTCTTCGTTCTTTCCAGAACAAAACAGTATTATTTTGATATCTATCCATCAAGCCACTTTTTTCCACCTTCTTTTTTAGTCTCCTTCACGCTTTATTATTCTTCTTTTTGCACTTCCATTTTACTTTTTTCTCTTGTGAGCAATGCAAATCCAACGAGGGTCCTAAACAAATGAATCAAGCCATATTGTGTCCATAATTTATATGCGAGTAATTCGAGACCACTTTCTAGTCATAATGAGAATATGTTAATGGCGCCATCAGACCGGAGTGACTTGGGAAAAACTAGTTTGAATGGTTATGTTGCTATTGATTTTTTTTGTTGTTGTCATTTTGCTCATAATATCTTAGTTACTATATATTTAAATGAATTTTAATAATGATTTTAGTAACAATGATTATTAATTTTAGTTATTCAGAAATCATAAAGATCAAATTCTCACTATTATTGTACTTTGTTATTGTTGTAATCAAACTATTATTATATTTCCTTGTACTTTGTTATTTTTAATTAAATTATATTATTTTAACATGAACGGTATGACCACAAGTTGACCCTGATTTGACTCATTGACCTTTAAACTATTATCTCAACTGATTTAATGTCCGGTCTAATTTTTTATTCTTTGATTTGAGCACTATCAAGTCTAAAGTGGTGGCCTTACTGCATAATTATTTGACTTCATTATGGGATATGACAATTTCAGACCGAGTAAACAAAACTAATAACACTTTTATTAGATGATAAAATTTTAATTTCAATTAATTAAGGTCCTTAACTAGCTTTATAATTTATGAGCATTTTAAAGTAAACTAATTGATAAAATTGTTCCTATTCACACACACACAAGTTGGAGAGGTTAACAGCCTCAACTGAAAATATTAGAAGCCTAAAACAAGCCCATCAAGCTTCTTGAGAAGGTCTATAACTATAGATCCCGTCTATATAAAGCCCAATTCATAGAAAATCTAAAACTCGAATTGAGTTACAAGTTGTTTGCTTGCGTTGCAATTTACAAATGAATTGTATATTAAAGACCGAATATAGCAATAGATTTGTGCGTCTTTCATTCCAGTTGTCCATTATATCTCTTGCTTCTCATCAGAACCATCCTAGCTGGTACTCACATGTCGTTTTTGGCTTTTATTCCGTACTCCTACAAACTGTTCTCTACTTACTTGAATCTTTCTACACCTGCATTATTTGACCAGAGAGACCTAAAGGGGGAGGTACAGAACTCGACTGCTCCGACCACATTTTAAAGAAATATAGTCATCATTTGGAATTTATAATTTAAATTAAATCTTTTTAATTGAGCCAGTTCTCGTCTATTAATTATTAGTTGAACTAAATTCTGTTAGACATATATAATCAATGAAAGATGACTATTCGAAACTGTTAAGATTTATGCTTATACTACCCCTGGTTCTTAATATAATAACTAATTAATTAATTTGGAGAGATCAAGAAAATTAGTTAAATTATTTTTTTATAATAAATATGTGTTCTTTTCTAGAATATCCTTGCTAATCATATATATTAGCTAAAACTATTATTTGATAGAATATTTAACATGTGCAACTACTAGATATAAGGACTGTTTTGAAAAAAATAGATAATTACGAGAGACAAAGTGAATTGGAGTCTTATATTTAGAATCAAATTGAATGTCAAATTAATTCTTATATTAAGGACCGAAGTTAGTGTTATTTTCTTGCATTGCACCTCATGTGATGATATATGAACTCTCCAATCTTAAAAACGCATGCTAAAGCTCATGAAGTTTATTGAAATGCAGGTTAATTATGAGTAAGATATATAACTAGTTCTGTGTTGTATACTTTTCCTTACTTAATATCTAATATTATATCATGTTTTTATTATACTAAATATTTGTATATGTTCTATGTATTACTCCCGTTTCATAGAATTAAGGTTATTATTTTTTTAAGGTAAATTGGTTATTAATTATCAAGTAATCTCTTTTGCAAATAATATTTCGGTCGCCAGCTTTTATTAGAGCTTGGCTTCGGCGGCCAATGTTGAAAGGAGTTTTTTTTTTTTAAATGTATAAAAACAGTAAAAATATTTAATGAAGAAACTTAATTTAAAAAAAAAAAAGGTTTGCACGAGGATTTTGGCATCATTATCCGAAACAAATGTGTTTTTCAGAATTGATACGATCAAAAATTGAAAACAACTCTTACGGTTATTAAGAGAAGCAGCTGAAAGTTGTCCAAAGAGTCATTAATTAGCAGAGTCATTTTAATTTGCAGCCACCAGAATCACTGGAAAGAAGGCTGCAGAGCGAAAAATTTCTGGGGAAAGGAAAGTTGGTTAAAAGTTAAAAAAAATAGTGAAAGGAAATATTATTGAGTTTGAATATATAATATATAGCGAAACATAAAGGAAGAGCTTCAAACAGAAGCATGAACAAAAGGAGTAAGATTGGAATATTGCTTTCCAGAAAGGAAAGCTGAAGGCTATATAACTAGTACAATGTATGATACTGATTTATATATTCGTATTCCAATTTCAGTTCCAATTCCTTTAAATCTCTCATGCACAACAGTGTACAACTTTCCAGAACACAGTATTGTTGACATCGATCTCAAGAGGCCACTTGTTTTAATTTGTCTTTTTCAGTCTTCTCCATACTGGTTCATGTTAAGCTAATTCCTCTTTTTCTGCTTTCATTTGAATAGGAAGATGTATCCCGGTTTTAAGTTCGATTTATCCTATATATATATATATATATATATATATATATGATCTTTAAATCTGTAGCTTTCAATCCATTTTTTTTTAATTCAAACTTATTCTATAAGATATTTGGGAAGGTATAGCACATGCTTTACTAGCGATAAGAGTCCAGGGGAAGGGATTTAGTTACTTTTAAGTAAGTTTAAGGATTTAAAATTTATATTTAACTTGAGCTGACAACAATTCTCATATTTGAGTTGATGCTGTAACATATTGATTGATGTGTGAATAAAAAATAAATAAGAACATGCCTTCACTTCAGAAACTAACTCTCGATTTACTGGTGTATATTAGGTAGATCCATGTGGAATATAGAATATAAAAGAATAAAATAAAAATAAAAATAAATTTAAAATAAAAAATAAGATCATATTTTTCATTTGAAAAATAAAAATAAGAAAATTTGAAAAAATAATTATAAATACGTAATGCATTCATGGTAGAAATTACGGGAAACAGGTACACCAAACACATGAGGCACAATGGGAATATCTCAAATGATAAGGGAAAATATGGTAAATTCGCGAACTCTCCATGAGGAGAGAGAGTTTCCTACTTTCCTTCCATTAGAGGGACAGTTGTTCTCCTTCGTTAAACTCTTTTCATTGTACCAAACACGACAAAATCACCTCTCCTTTGACTTCTCTAACTTTCTGTGAGTTCTATTTACACAGCATGCTTTGAAAGAGACTTTCCTGGAATTAATTAATAATAGAGTAATATATAAATCAATTGTAATGATAAAAACTTACGTGTCATAATTTCAAAATATTAAAAACAAATAATCATTCCACTTTTCAGAACAGCACAGAAATCGAACAATATTTATAAAATACGACTGATGCAAATATAAATGAATCTTTTGTTCTTATAGGAAATTAATATCTGTATAGTCGAAATGTATCGTTGCAAAAAAAAAAAAAAAACGTATCGCGTTGGGTTCAATATTATTATATGCATGAGAAGCAAACTTATATAACTGGTGTAAAAATATGTTTGCTTAATTCTTCAAGAGAACAACTTATTTAATTAAGTTCAAAAGTGCATGTTATTATAGTTTTGAACAAAACTGTTGCTAAATACTACTAATTCTTAAAATTTGGGGGACAAAATTATCCCGTGAACATATGTGCACTCGTCATCTTATCTGAAAGGCTAAAATGACAAATTAATAAAATTAAACACAATACAACAGACGTGGGCGTGTTTATTTATTAAACTTCCTCTGAGTAACTGAAAAACACACTTAACAAACAAATCATCACTTGCCGGTAGCATGAAGTCCACTCTACGCACCACGTTTTTTCTTCTTCCTTCCATGGGACAACACAGTACCAGGCTGATGATGCTGGATAATACGTACGTGGTTGGCCACTACTGGAGGCTAATTAAAACCATACACCACAATAGGGCTCCTCACTTGGAAATTGCCATCATCCCAAATCAAAGACGCAGAAACTATTGGTACATTTATGCGTCCTTCAATAGTAACTGTGAAAGATTTCATCTCATCCGCAGATGAGAACGACAGAACATCTGGTGTCACTTGAATAGTTAACAGAGATGAAGGAGCAATCACTTTAGCCTTGTATACAGACATAGCTGCTCTAACGTTTCTCACAGTCCTACGAAACACAACGCTCAAATGTTTTGAGATGACTGTCTCAAAAGCGAATGATGGGAGATTGAGATCCCTCACTGTTTCATTCGTAATTTTCTCACAGTTGATGTCATCATCTGTAATGAGCCGCACTGTTTTTGTATCATAACCTTGTCCACACAAGAACCTCACGTAATCTGATTCACTGATATCATATACCAAGCCGGGAGTCAATGCCTTAATGGGATTGATTTGTCCAGCTCCATATGCAAGTTCAGCTTCCGGGTTGAGCTCAGGATTCATGGGAGAAGCTACAATTATATATGTGTTTATGAGAAACAAGCATGAAATAACCACAGAAAAAACCAATTTGATATATTAGTGGATTAATATTTACCAGTGGTCATTAGGGCAGATTTTATTGCTGCAGGGGACCAGGTGGGGTGAAACGATTTAACGTAGGCAGCTGCAGCAGAAACATGAGGGCAAGCCATGGAAGTTCCTGACATTATATTGAAGTTTGATTCCCTCATGTCTCCTGCTGCCCCGGAGATGGAGGAGTTGGGAGGCCAAGCAGCTATGATGTCTACTCCGGGGGCAGTTATATCAGGCTACAACAGCAACAACAAAATAGTTTGAATCGCACAAATGTTTCTTGACGAGGGTTGCCATATGTATACAAGTAGTGTTTATAAGTAGTTGTGAACCTACGTACGTACTTTGAGAATGTCGGGAGTAATTGGATTCGGACCCCTTGATGAAAAGGAAGCTATGTATGGGGACAAAGAATCTTTGCCTTCATTGCTCTTAAATATAGAAGCTGTTGGATTACTGCAAAATTATTTGGTAGATGATAGAAAATAACGATAAAGCCAGTAAATTTATTCATACACACACAGAGACAGACGGAGATGCTGTTAGTTATTGGATGGATGCATACCTTGCTGACTTTAAGTAAGAGCGAATGGATTCTCCATCTCTGAGGGTAAGCAAAGTGAAAGAAAGAGGAAGAGCATGTGCCACATCTTTTGAGGAAATGATTGGAACGACGACCCCAACGACCCCAGCCTTTTGTGCCGCATTATGTTTCGGAACAGAATCACACACAACAATCTTCCCCTTCACTAATGCTTCATCTAAAGAGTTTTCAACGCAAGAACTGTCCAAAATGAGATTGGTTAGTATAATAGGATACTTGGGATGATCATTCATAATATATTTTAAAATAAAAACATTAATACCTTGATATGGAACTGTTAAAACCACCGGTGATATTGGGTGCGTCTCCAGAATAAATCAAAGGATACGTTTTATTATGAGGATCAAATGTATTCACCGAAACTCCCTGCATATACGTATATGTGTCTCAAACCGTTCCCATAGATTTCTTAGCTACTGGCAATATAATTAAAGTGTTACCTCAAAAACCATGCCATTTCCCAACTGAAGCTTGGTGAAAAACTTTCTATCAATAGTGGAAGCAGCCACTGAAAGCGACCAGGGGGCAAAGCTAGTCATGGTGAACAACTCAGGACCCAAGTTGCCGGCACCAATTGAGGTTAAAATGCCGTTCTTCATTGCATGGAAAGATCCAATCGCAAATATGTCCTGAAACAAGTTAGGATGGATCACCGAGGTTTCGCCGAGTGATACGGAAATTATGTCGACGCCATCAGAGATTGCTTCGTCAAATGCTGCCAGAATTTCCGAGTCGTAACAACCTGATGACCAACAAGGTTTGTATGCAGCAATTCGAGCTGATGGGACTCCCCCTCTTGCTGTGCCGGAGCCTAGCCCGTATAGACTCGCTGAGTTAACCCAGTTTCCTGCTGCGGTGGATGCACAGTGAGTGCCGTGGCCATCTGTATCCCTTGGTGATCCAATGTCATCTTTGGCGGGAAACCCATGGCCTACAAAGTATTTTGCGCCTACTATCTTGCTGCGTGTATATATATACACAAGTAGTTAATTAGTGCTCATGGCTGTAACAATAGTATAGGTTAAAAATTTTCAGTTTGCAATTTTTTAATAATAAATTTATCTTTTGAAGAAGGGTCTCGTATAAAATTATTTTTATTTTAAATTATATATATATCAAAATAAAAAGTATTTATAATATAAAAATATTAAATTGGCACCCTTGTATGAAACATCAAATCATCATTGCACAGTCCCGGCATTTGATTTTTTCATATTATGATGAATTTAATATATTTTTAAAATAATAAAATAATTCAAATTAAAAATATTAAGTAATACTACCTCCGTCCTTAATATAAGAGTTAATTGACTAACTTAAAAAAATTAAAAAAATTAGCTAAATTAGTTATTTGTAATAAATAGATATTATCTTTCTTAAAATATCTTTGTTAATTAAGTATATTAGTTAAAACTATCATTATTATAAAGACTATCTTGGAAATAAATAAATAAACGAATATAAGAGACAAATTGGATTGGAGTCTTAAATTTAGGATCAAAATAAAAGTTAAACAAATTCTTATATTAAGGAGCTAAGGTAGTAACAAAAATTGATTAAAGTGGTTAAACTAATTTGATAAGTTAATTCTTATAATTTAGAAAATGAAAACGAAGTAATGAAATATAAAAGGATCTATAATGTATATACTTATTTTATAATGCACCCACATATAATTATTCATTTCTAATTCTTATTAGAAACATGATTTCAATCTCAAGAATGCGGATTAAAAAAAATCTGACCAAATAGTTCAACCAGTCGAATCATTAGTTTCAGTTTTGACCGGTGGTTGGCTAATTAATTATTTCAAATCCCCAAGTTTCCCCCTTTACTTTGGACCAGGCCAAATTAATAAAAAACACCAGCTTGCTAGTTTTCTAGTTCGTTGGTCCCATTCGTTTGTTTGTTTGTTTGTTTTTTTTTAAAGCAGAACGCATTCTTTAATTTGGAGAGATATTTTGATGTACTGGTATGTACTTATTGCAAGTGAAGTTCTGGCAAGAGCCCTTCCATTTTCTGGGCGGCGGACCGAAACCTTGATCGTTAAAGCTATCAGACTCTGGCCAAATTCCGAAATCGATTATTCCGACGATGAGGTCACTCTCCAAACTTGCTCTGTTGACTTGCTGTGGGAACCCTATGAAATCCCACGACCTCGTTGTTTGGGGCTTGTGCCTTTTGCTTTCAAACATAGAGATTACACCATCCATTCCTGATATATATAATTTGGCTTGTTTATATATATATATATATATGAAGAGAAAATAAAAAAATAAAAGAAAAAAGGATATATAAACTGTACCGCCCACTTTTTTGGCTTCCTCTTTTGTTAGCCTCACCGCAAAGCCATTAAAACTCTTCCTGTAGCTGTGGACCAACGCTTCTGGTGCAAAGTTTCTGAAACATAACCATTTGGGACTGTCATGAGTCTCTTCATTATTCTACATCAAAGCCCTCTTTCAGATAACTTATCTTTTAACGTGCAAAGAACGTACGGTGGAATCGAATAACCCTCTAATGAATTATTAGCCAGTGATCACTGAATATAAAACTACAATTACTTCATTAATTGGGTAACGATGACTAATAAGTAGTAAGAACCTGCCAAGGACTCCTTGAACCATGCTCATGTGATGCAATTCCGTGACTTCCATTTCCTTTGGGAGATCCCCCATGTACACGATATACGTCTACTCCAAAATGTGATTAAATTGATGAGAAGCAATATGAAGGTGAAGACTTCAACACATCGAGCTAAAAAGTACTAAGTAGGGATGAAAAGAGGATGCGTGGAATTGATATACTGTTCCGATCTCTTGTAAAGAAAATTCTGAAATAGATTATTAATCGATCAATATATGATAGAGCGACATTAGTTTACCTTTCGATCATCGCAATGTGTCTGAATAATAAGAACACTGAAAAAGAAAGATAAGAGGAGATGTATGGAGCTTAGAGAAAACATGTTTATATTTGCTAAAAGAAGTGACAGATCTTTTGGTTTTGATGTGTCTGAAGCAACCTGTCCGATGGTATATTTATAGGAAAAGCATCCATGCTTTGGTGCCCCAGTTTCCATCACACATACACGGTTCACATTTCTTTTCTTTTTTGTTTTTTTGTTGAAAATTCGAATTTTCTTTTCATAATGCGGGTCCTGGTCTATCTTTTCTTTTTCCCCTCTAATTGAATTGATCTGATATGATTTCACTAAAATCTAAAGATTTTAACCTTTCTGTTTAATTAAGATTATAGTGGTATTCATTTATTGTTAAAAAAAGTGCTATCCCTTTCCGTGGCTTACATCGAGATATCTTTAAAGTACTGCCTTTTGATGAAGTCTTGACGCGTCCCATTTTCCAAATGGTCAGTTTTGTTAGAATTCACTTTTCTTTACAACGCAGAAAAGAATTTCTAATATATCTAGTATCAATTCCATCAAACTTTTATAAGATCCCATTCCTGGAATACTTCCAAATAAACAGTAAAACAAATTATATACATTTGGGTTGGTTGTTACGTGTGAACTCAACTAGTGAGTTGGTTTGGTGTGAACACAACTAGCTCGAAGCAGAAACGGCCAAAAAAAAAAAGAGGCTCAAAGGGGAAATCAAATTAATTTAGCATAGCTAAAAATTGAAACTGGGCTACCAGCTAGGTTATTTACACTTGTTAACATCAGTGTTTTCATTATAAATAGAATTAAATATAAATATATATATGTGCTTATCCACATATACTATTTTGCACTCATCCGTGTTGGTTCAAATTAATTAAATTTTTTTTGACAACAAGATATGAGTTTTAGGATTTATAAATATGGGATGGAGAAATGAGTCTTATTGGTGTTTGTAGAAATATGATGCTTTTGCATTTGTTTGATCAGATGGTGTTTTGAACATTTGAATTTATTTGTGTGTGTATAGCTTTTATTATCAATTATAGCGCATGTGCCATCGATGCCACCCTCATAAGATCTACTTTCTTAAAAGTTGATCAATTTAGTCGGATGGATTTTAAACCCAACAAAGCTTAGCTTGACATGTGTGTGTGTGTATATAGAGAGAGAGAGAAGGGGGTCGTGGAAGACTAAAACCCAACGCTATAATGCAGTCAATGTACATATAATACTTTATTCAAAAGTTCACAATAATTGATGTCCTTGTAAATTGACTTTTATATTGCTTTAGCCTTTTTTTTTTTTGAGCTGAATATTGCTTTAGCCTTTGGAAGATGCTTTTTCTATAAGGAATTATAATATGATAAAATGATAAAGGATTTGGATAAGACAAGGCCAAAACTGCAAACTGTGCGCTTGAGTGGGACGTGCAGATTTAATCCCACAATGTTAAGGGGAGAATCATTTTGCTTTTTAATCAAAAAAAGGGAGAATTATTTCATTTCTGGCACTTCACTTCAAACTGCAATCCCATGATATACATGTGTGTGTGGGTGTAGTCACTAGTTAACATCATAAATGGATGGGACAGAAAGTATACACATTCCAAAAAGCATCTTCCATTTCATGTGGAGGGTAATGTTGGCAATAATGCTGTTGATTCCAAGATTTCATCAGTTGTTAATATATTAAATGCACTTAGCCAACCTCCAAAATGGAACTTCCAACACATGTACAACATAAACAAATTCAAAGTGATCATTCGTTATCTCTTCTACTTCTTCTTCCTCCTCTTCACCTTGTATATTTCTCTTAGCTTTTTTTTTTTTTTTAAATATTTGTTTTATTATATATTTTGCAGATATTGTGTTTTGATTTTGTTTGTGAGTTCAATGTTTCTGGCCATCAACTTGGTGTGACGGAAAGTTTCAGGGGTGGTTTTGTCCGTGGTGTAGTTTTTGATAGAGACTAGGAAGGGGATGAGGGCACAATGGGAATATTACAAATAACAAGAGTTAAGCTGGTAAATTCAGAAACACTCCCTTGCGGCGAGTTTCCCTCGGATTATTGATGGAAAGGTGTCTCCTTCATTTGAGGGAGAGTTGTTAGCCTTGGGGAGAATGTCTTCCTTACACCAAACACTAGAAAATCACCACTCCCTATCTTCATTTCCTCGGGCCTCCGCACAAACATGACCCAAAACTAGTAACCTCTCTGTAAGTTCTATAATTTCCAGCATGTTTATAGACTTTCGTGTCTGTAATCTCCTTTTTCTCCCCTTCAATTCCAACTCGTCATTTAATGATAAAATACTATAAAAATTAATTCTAATATAAAAAATTATAGGGAAAAGTTGAATAATATTTATAAAATAATAACTGTTGTCAATAAATTTTTCTTGTTCTCATATAGGGAATTAGTGACTGTATATAGTAGCAATCCATTGTGTTGGGAGCAGTGTCCCTTCTTTCCATCTCATCCTTTTTCCTTCTCTGTCTTTTCTAATCTTTACAATTTTACATATAACAGGTGCATATCTATTAAAAAACCACTCATAAAACTGCAAGGAAAAATGTCTGCTTACTTCTTCAAGGCATCAAGTTATTCGAGTTCAAAAGGGCATGCTATTGCAGTTTTAAACAAAACCGTTGCTAAGTAAAAATTCTTAAAATTTGGGAGGAAAATCATCCCATGGGAATGCGTACACTAATTATCTTATATATATATATATATATATATCATATTTAAACGCACACATGCACCACTCATTGTCTTGTATAGAAGCCTACAATGAAACATTAATTGATAAAATTAAACACAATATAATAGCTCCTTTCAGTACCCAAAAAAAAAAAAAAAACAACATAACAGACTAGGCGTGTTTATTCTCCGAGTAACTGAAAGACACTCAAGTACGAATCATCATTTGCCGGTAGCATGAAGTCCACTCTACGCACCAAGATTTTTCTTCTTCCTTCCATGGGACAACAAACATGTACGAGGCTGATGATGGACACGTACGTGGTTGGTCACTACTCGAGTCTTATTAAAGATCATACACTACAATAGGGCTCCTCACTTGCACATTGCCATCATCCCAAATCAAAGACGCGGATACTATCGGCACAGTTATGCGTCCTTCAATTGTAACTTTGAAAGATTTCTTCTCATCCACATATGAGAACGACAGAACATCTGGTGTCACTTGAATAGTTAACAGGGATGAAGGAACAATCACTTTAGCCTTGTATACCGACATAGCTGCTCCAACATTTGTCACAGTCCTGTGAAATACAATGCTAAAACTTTTTGAGATGCTTGTCTGAAAAGCAAAAGATGGGAGATTGAGACTCCTCGCTGTTTCATTCTTAATTTTCTTACAGTTGATGACATCATGTGTAATGCGCCGTAATGTTTTTGTACCATAACCTTGTCCACACAAGAACCTCACATAATCTGATTCACTGATATCGTATACCAAACCAGGAGACAGTGCCTTAATGGGATTGATTTGTCCAGCTCCATATGCAAATTCAGCTTCCGGGTTGAGCTCAGGATTCATGGGAGCAGCTACAATATATGCGTGTTCATGAGAAACAAGCATGAAATAATCGTAGGAACAGAAAAGAGCTTTGCGAATCTGCTTGATTAATTAAAGGCAAGTTGATAGTTAGTGGATTTGTAATTACCAGTGGTCATTAGGGCAGACTTTATTGCTGCCGGGGACCAGGTGGGGTGAAACGATTTGACGTAGGCAGCTGCAGCAGAAGCATGAGGGCACGCCATGGAAGTTCCTGATATTATATTGAAGTCTGATTCCCTCTTGTCTCCTTTCACAGTCGAAACAGGGGACTTGGGAGGCCAAGCGGCTAAGATATCTACTCCTGGGGCAGTTAAATCAGGCTACAACAGCAACAAATTAAAATAATTTGAATCAATATTGTTTCTTGAAGAGAGTTGCTATATCTATACAAGTACTATTTATGAGTAGTTGTGAACCTACGTACTTACTTTGAGAATGTCGGGAGTAATTGGATTCGGACCCCTTGATGAAAAAGAAGCTACGTATGGGGACAAAGAATCTTTGCCTTCATTGCTCTTAAATATAGTAGCCGTTGGATTACTGCAAAATTAAGTTAATTAAATTGCTAAGAAACAACGATGGAGTGAGCAATATTTCACATGGAGATGCTGTTTGCTGTTGGATGGGTGCATACCTTGTTGAATTTAAGTAAGAGCGAATGGATTTGCCATCTTTCCGGGTAAGCGAAGTGAGAGGAAGCGGAAACCCATATGCCACATCTTTTGGGGAAATCGTCGGAGCGATAACACCAACAGCCCCAGCCTTCAGTGCTCCATTATCTATTAGGGCATCACACACAACGATCTTCCCTCTCACCAATGTCTCATCTAAAGAGTTCTGAACGCAATAACTATCCAAAAATAAATAACAATACTTATTATTAGAATACTTGGGATGATTATTTATAAACATCTTAAAATAAAACAATTATATATATACCTCGATATGGAACTGTTAAATCCACCAGTGATATTGGGTGCATCTCCAGAGTAAATCAATGGGTACTTTTTATCATGAAGATCAAATGCGTTCACTGAAACTCCCTACATAGACATATATGTGTTTCTCAAACCATTCCAACAGGAGGTTTCTTAGTAGTAATATAATTTAAGTACGTTACCTCAAAAACCATGCTATTCCCCAACTGAAGCTTGGTGAAAAACTTTCTATCAATAGTGGAAGCAGCCACTGAAAGCGACCATGGAGCAAAACTACTTATAGTGAACAACTGAGGGCCCGAATTCATAGCAGCAAGTGAGGTTAGAATGCCATTCTTCATTGCATGGAAAGATCCAATTGCGTACACATCCTCAAACAAGTCACGGTGTACCACAGATAGAGAGCCAAGTGACACAGAGAGTATGTCAACGCCATCAGAGATTGCTTCCTCAAATGCTGCCAGAATATCAACTTCATAACAACTATCTGATGACCAACAGGCTTTGTACACAGCAATACGAGCTGATGGGACTCCCCCTCTTGCAGTGCCCAAGCCTAACCCAAATAGACTCGCCGAGTTAACCCAGTTTCCTGCAACTGTGGATGCACAGTGAGTGCCGTGACCAACTGAATCCCTTGGAGACATAGTACCATCTTCGCCAAGCAAACCATCCACCCGAAAGTATTTTGCTCCAATTATCTTGCTGCATATGTATGTACATAAGAAGTGATCGGCATTTATATGTAAAACATGAAATGATCATTGCACAGTCAGGGCCTTTGATTTTTCTTCTTATTGTACTGGAGCAAGTCATGATTTAATACATATTTCGAATGAATAAACTACTTTAAAATAATAAAACAAATATTTAAAAATGATTTCAAACAAAAAAAATTAAAGTGAGTAAATATGAAAAGTCAAAAAATAAAATAAAAAATACTTAGGTCAAGTTTCTGATATCATTGTGCCAAGTTCTCTAATCATATAAGGCTATGTGTCCCATTTTTTCATGTGAGTTTATGGCTAGATTATAATATTTTAAAAATTAGACACATGACCTTATATGATTGGAATTGGGGAACTTAACATAATAGATATGAGGAATTTGATGTATGTATTGTTCAAAAAATAATTTGACAAGCCAATAAATATTCTTATAATTAAGAAAATAAAAAACAAAATAATTATGAAATACTATAAAATATCTACAATGTATATACTTATTTTATAATATACCCATATAGTTATTAATTTCCTAATACCTATTAGAAAAAAGACTTAAATTTTCAGAGCATAAATAAAAAATCTGACCAGATAGTCTTTTTAACTAGTTGAATCATTAGTTTTCAGTTTTGACCTGTGCTCTTGGCTAGTTTCAAATTCCCTAGTTTTCTCTTTATTTTCGACCAGACCTTTGGCAAACTGAAAATGTATTGATATATACTTATTGCAAGTGAAGTTTTGGCAAGAGCCCTTCCATTTTCTGGGCGGCGGACCAAAACCTTGATCCTTGAAGCTGTCAGATTCGGGCCAAATTCCGGAATCGATTACTCCGACGATGATGTCACTCTCCAAACTCGTTCTGTTGACTTGCTGTGGGAACCCTATGAAGTCCCACGACCTCGTTGTTTGGGGCCTGTGCCTTTTGTTTTCGAACATAGAGATTACACCATCCATTCCTAATATGTATAAACTTGGCTTCAGTATTTCATCAATATTACTCTCTGGTATATGTCTGACTTGTTTATATATAGAAGAAAGGAAAAAAGGAAAAAAAAAGAAAAGGAAAGTATATCTAAACTATACCGCCCACTCTTTTCGCTTCCTCTTTTGTTAGCCTCACCGCAAATCCATTGAAACTCTTCCTGTAGCTATGGACCAAAGCTTCTGGTGCGAAGTTTCTGATACATCACCATTTCGGACAGTCAGCCTCTAATTAATTGGCTACTCAGCCACTGAATTAAAAACCACGTAAAATTACATTAACTGGGTATTTACTTAACGATGATTAATTAGCATAGAAGTAGTAAGGACCTGCCAAGGACTCCTTGAACCATGCTTATGTGATGCAATTCTGTGACTTCCATTCCCTTCGGGAGATCCCCCATGTACACGATATACGTCTATCCAAAATGTGAATAAATTAATGAGAAGCAATGAAGATCAAGACTTCAATAATCATGCTGCTCCGATCAATATACTATTATATAGAAAAATGATGAAATAGATTGATGATTAATATGTGATAAAGCCACACATTAGTTTACCTTTCGATCATCGCAGTGTGTCTGAATAATAAGCAAACTGAAAAAGAGAGATAAGAGGAGATGCGTGGAGCTTAGAGACAACATGGTTATATTTGCCAAATGGAATGATATTTCCTATGGTTTTGATGTGTTTGAGGCGAGACCTCCAATATGGTATTTATGGGAAAAGGATCCATTGCATGCTTGAACTCTCGTCCCAATTTCTATCTACTAGTCTGGTTCTAAATATAAGACTCATTTTGTAATGTAATTTGCACTATAAAATAGGTATCATATTTAGGACCGGAGCAGTATCATTTTTATTGTGGAAAATCAAAATTTGCTTTTCATACCACTACGGGTCCCGATCTGTCTTTTTCATTTATAATTATTTGATCTGAATTTGATTTAGCTAAAGAGTGTAACTTTTAATTTTCTCTTTTAATTATGGCTAATAGTGGTTCATGTTCCATGACTTGTCACATCGAGATATTTCTAATAATTAAAGTATCTTTTCCATTTTTTACGTCTCTTGACATTTAGGGTTTATAAGATGTGGGATATGGAGAAATGAATCTTACTGGTGCTTGTCAAAACCATGATGCTTTTACATTTCTTTGATGTGATGATGTCTCTAAATATTTTAATTTCTTTCTGTGTGTAGTTTTTATCATAAATTACCAATCATGTAGTTTGTTGTATAATTTTTAGAGGATGACTTTATGTTAAAATTTTAAAAATTATCGGATCATACGCGCCTTATTGCCGAAGTCACATCGATATACTCACTCTGCAAGTCTACACAATCAAAATTTTTTTGTTTTTTTTTTGCCAGAAAGATGACTACACAATTAATAGTTGATAAATTTAATCAGACTGATTTTAAACTCTCTTTGGTTTGATATGGACGGCCATGGAAGACTGAGATTCCACATTAATAGTGCCATGTATAATACTTTATCTAAAAGTTCACAATAATTAAAGCCGGCCTGTAAATTACTTTTATCCGGTTCAGATGGCTTTAGCCCTTGGGAGATGCTTTTACTATTATTGTCCAAGCATGAAAAAGGCGTATTAAGATAATAAAGTGTCAAAGGATTTGAACAGGACAAGGGCGCCCCAGAACTCCATGCTTATGGTGGGACGTACAAATTAAATCCCACAGTGTTAAGGGGAATCATTTCATTTCTGGGCGTTCCTATTAATAAAGCAATGCAAGGTTAAAGAGAAGCATTTCATTTCAGACTTCAATCCCATATGATATATGTCTAGTCACTAATTAACATCCCAATTCTGGGTCTGAAAATTACTATTATCTGAAACATTATTCCTGAAATATCTTCCATTTGAACTTGAGGGTGATGTTGGCAATAATGCTGTTTATTGCAAAATGAAACCTCCAACACATGAACTTCGCCGTCTCCTTCTTCCTCCTCTTCCCTTCTTGTTTTCTCTTCTCTCTGCTATACTGTGGCTTGTTTCCTTTTGCTGCATGCTTGGAACACAGATTAGGACACAGCATTTTCAATATATTTATGTTCTTTATATCATCGCTTAAGTAATCAAGACTAGTTTTCTAACTCAGAGGCTCTTTGAATTTCATTCTCCGTGGCATCTTCACTTATAGCTTGCAACTTGTGATGCTGAAGTGTCGTGTAAAAGAAAAGGTCATGAATGATTAATTGAGACTAGATATAGACAAAATATGTATGATAAATTAGCCATATCCTTTATTGGCAGAAAATCAAAGCATCCTTAGATATGCAGGGACGTTGCTCGCACCACGTTCTAATCAGCCAACGGAACTATCAAACATTTCAACATCTTTTTATTTTATACGGTAGGAGAATAAACAATGACAAATTTAATCAAATATATGTGAAACACTCTTATTCAATGGACTTTATTCAACACCATATTCAAAGAAAAATGAAAGAACGAAATCATCTTTTGTTAGTACGAGACTGAGAATCCATGTGCATGGTACTCACTGATGAGTACTGTAAATCACAATGGAGCTCCTCACTTAGAAATTGCCGTCATCCCAAATCAAAGAAGCAGAGACTGTTCCCACATTTATTGTTCCTTCAACTGTAACTGTGAACGACTTCTCACCCACAGACGAGAATGACAAAACATTTGGCGTCACTTGAGTAGTCAACAAAGACGGCCTAACCACCACTTTAGCCTTCTATACAGATGTAGCCGATCCAACATATGTCACGGTTCTATGAAACACGTTCTGAGATGTTTCTCTCGAGCGAAAGATGGGAGATTGATGTCCCACACTGTTTCATTCTGAGCTTTCTTACAATTGACGTACGTCTTCATCTGCAATGGCTTCCCAAGCTTGTCCTGTTATAACCTTGTCCGCTCAAGAACCTCACATAATCTGATTCACTAATATCATACACCAAACCAGGGGTCACATATGCCTTAATGGGATTGATATGTCGAGCTCCGTATGCAAATTCAGCTTCTGGGTTGAGAGCGGAACTCATTGGAGTGGCTGTGATATACATACATGGAAAGAACGGCATGTCATCATATATAAGAGAAACTATAGCATTATATATATAAGAAAGCTTTACAAAGAAGTTGATATTGGTGGATTAATCAAGCAAGTACCAGTAGTTATTAAGGCAGACTTGATTGCGGCTGCAGACCGTGTGGGATGAAATGACTTGACGTACGCAGCTGCTGCAGTAGCGTGAGGGCAAGCCATGGAAGTTCCTGATATTATATTGAAGTTTGATAATCTCTTATCTCCTTTCAAATTTGGACATGGGGAAATGCAAGCCCATGCGGCTATGATATCTGCTTGTGGAGCAGCTATATCAGGTTACAAAGACCCATTAACAACATCATCATTTCAATGACTATTGATCCACGAAAAGAGCTAGCAGACCGAAAATTCATAACCAGTGGCAGTGATTCTGGCTACCTTGAAAATGTTGGGAGTAAATATTTTTGACCCCTTGAAAAAAAGGAAGCTACGTAACGGGCCAAAGAATCTTTGACTTCATTACTCTTGAAAATAACAGCAGTTGGATTGCTGCAGAATTGGCAGATCATAGAACAAAAAAGAATAATTAATCAACAATGACATGGGAATGTGTGTGTGTGAGAGAGAGAGAGATGTTTGATGATATATACCTGTTGGAATTCAAGTAACAGCGAATGGGCGTGGCATCATTTAGAGCAAGCACAGCGAGTAGAAGAGGAAAAGAAAAACAAGATGCCACATCCTGAATATCTATCTAATACTTCTCCAATTCTTAATATAAGACATATTTGACTAATTTGATTCGATTAAAGAAGTTAGATAAATTAGTTAATTATAAGAAACATGACATTTTTCTAAAACACTATGGTCATTTTCCTTAATATCTTCCCTCATTCTCTTATTTGATTATGGTTAATGGAGTATCCATAAGCGTACTTTAGAAAAAAAATAAATATAAAAAATAGGCCTTACATTTAGTACAAAAATCAACTTAATAATTACATCCTATATTAAGGATCAGAAAAGTATATATTTATATATACAGTACCCCTTTTACCTCATAAAACATCTATATATATGTTCAATGACAGCCAAGCGAAGGATGGTCCAGGAATATTTGGATAGACAGAATAAACCACCACAATAATTTTGACGAATGCCTCTCGTGTACGGGCCAAACTGAGATTGAAAATTATTGAGCAAAATTATCAATAGGAAATCATCAAAAAAGTGTTATTCAGATTTGATGATTGAATATATAGTTGTCGTTATGGAGGTGATTAAATTAAACTAAGCTGGATTGGTTGAAGATAAGAGAGAGGAGTAACGGACAAAGAGGAAAAGTTGATGAGCCGCAACGGAAAGCAGCCAAACACACAGAAGAAGAGTTTCAAATAGAAGCATGAACAAAAGGAGTAAGGCGGGATTAATTAATTGCTTTTTTTAAAATGGCGACTTGAAGGTTACAAATAATTATTAATATATTACAGGCATTGATAATTATTCGTATTCCGATTCCAATTCCTTCAAATCTCTCATCCCAAACCGTGTACTTCTTCGTTCTTTCCAGAACAAAACAGTATTACTGTTGATATCTATCCATCAAGCCACTTTCCCCCCTTTTTCTTTAGTGTCCTTCAAGCTTTCTTATTCTTTTTTTCACTTCCATTTTACTTTTTTCGCTTGTAAGCAATGCAAATCCAACGAGGGTCCTAAACAAATGAATCCAAGCCATACTGTGTCAAGGAAAAATATCTGCTTACTTCTTCAAGGCATCAAGTACTTTAAGTTCAAAAGGGCATGTTATTGCAGTTTTAAACAAAACAGTTGCTAAGTAAAAATTCTTAAAATTTGGGAGAAAAATCATCCCATAGGAATGCCTACACTACTTATCTTTATATATATATATATATATATATATATATCATATCTAAAAGCACACACGCACCACTCATTATCTTATATAGAAGCCTGCAACGGAACATTAATTAATAAAGTTAAACACAATATAATAGCGCCTTTCAGTACCCAAAAACAAAAAAAGAAAAAAAACACAACATAACAAACTGCTGCGTGTTTATTCCACTACAAAAAAAAAATTGACTTTTAGCGGCAAGAAAAAGTCGCCGCTGAAAGTAATGCCTAAGTTTACCAACACCACGTCATCACCGCCGGCCGCCACGTCATCATCGTCGGCCACCATGTCATCATCGCTGACTGCCACGTCATCACTAGCCACCTCCACATCATTGCCACATCACTCCTCCCTGTCACGTCATCGTCCAAATATTTTCACCTTAAATATGTCTTTTTCAAGGTTTGAATTCGTGACCACCTCTTTTTGTATCCAATCTTCTTGTCATTGAGCTAGATCGAATTTGCTTATTAATATTGTAAAATAAAATATATATTATTATATTACACTTTTAGCGGCGACATTATAAAGTCGTCGCTGAAAGTCAGACCTTCAGCGGCGACACTGATAGTCACCGCTGAAAGTCTACTTTTACCGGCGACCATAGAATGTCGCCGCTGAAAGTGAACCCAATAATTCTCAAAGGTATACTTTTAGCAGCGACAAAAAAAGTCGCCGCTAAAAATCCACTTTCAACGGCGACATTTTTGTCACTGCTGAAAATCTTAGTTTCAACAGCGAACTTTCAGTGGCGACCAAAAAAGTCGCCGCTAAAAGTTCACTTTCAGCGGTGACATTTTTATCGTTATTGAAAGTCTTAGTTTCAGCAGCGAACTTTCAGTTCAGCCGTGACTAAAAGTTCACTTTCGGCCGCGACAAAAAAAGTCGCTGCGAAAAGTCCACTTTCACTATCGACTTTTTTGGTCGCCGCAGAAAGTCGTCGCCTAAAGTCTTTTTTTTTGTAATGTTCTCCGAGTAATTGAAAGACACTCAAGTACGAATCATCATTTCCAGGTAGCATGAAGTCCACTCTACGCACCAAGATTTTTCTTCTTTCCATGGGACAACACATGTACGAGGCTGATGATGGACACTACTTGAGTCTAAGATCATACACTACAATAGGGTTCCTCACTTGGAAATTGCCATCATCCCAAATCAAAGACGCAGAGACTATCGGAACATTTATGCGTCCTTCAATAGTAACTGTGAAAGATTTCATCTCACCCGCAGATGAGAACGACAGAACATCTGGTGTCACTTGAATAGTTAGCAGGGATGAAGGAACAATCACTTTAGCCTTGTATACCGACGTAGCTGCTCTAGCATTTATTACTGTCCTGTGAAACACAACGCTCAAATGTTTTGAGATGACTGTTATAAAAGCCAATGACGGGAGCTAGATTGAGATCCCTCACTGTTTCATTCTTTATTTTCTCACAGTTGATGTCATCATCTGTAATGAGCCGCACTGTTTTTGTATCACAACCTTGTCCATACAAGAACCTCACATAATCTGATTCACTGATATCATATACCAAACCAGGAGTCAATGCCTTAATGGGATTGATTTGTCCAGCTCCATATGCAAATTCAGCTTCCGGGTTGAGCTCAGGATTCATGGGAGCAGCTACAATTATATGTTTTTTTATGAGAAACAAGCATGAAATAACCACAGGAAAAGAAAAACCAAAGCTTTATGAATCTTCTTGATTAATTAAAGCCAATTTGATATATTTGTGGATTAATATTTACCAGTGGTCGTTAAGGCAGATTTTATTGCTGCAGGGGACCAGGTGGGGTGAAACGATTTAACGTAGGCAGCTGCAGCAGAAAGATGAGGGCAAGCCGTGGAAGTTCCTGATATTATATTGAAGTTTGATTCCCTTATGTCTCCTGCTGCCCCAGAGATAGAGGAGTTGGGAGGCCAAGCGGCTATGATATCTGCTCCTGGGGCAGTTATATCAGGCTACAACGGCAACAACAAAATAGTTTGAATCGCACAAATGTTTCTTGACGAGGGTTGCCATATGTATACAAGTAGTGTTTATAAGCAGTTGGGAACCTACGTACGTACTTTGAGAATGTCGGGAGTAATTGGATTCGGACCCCTTGATGAAAAGGAAGCCACGTATGGGGACAAAGAATCTTTGCCTTCCTTGCTCTTAAATATAGTAGCTGTCGGATTACTGCAAAATTATTCGGTAGATGAGAGAAAATAACGACGACCGAAGCCAGTAAATTTATTCATACACACACACACACCCAGGCACAGACGCAGATGCCATTAGTGATTGGATGGATGTATACCTTGTTGAATTTAAGTATGAGCGAATGGATTCTCCATTTCTGAGGTTAACCAAAGTGAAGGGAAGAGGAAGAGCATGTGCCACGTCTTTTGAGGAAATGATTGGAACGATGACCCCAACGGCCCCATCCTTTTGTGCCGCATTATGTTTCGGAGCAGAATCACACACAACAATCTTCCCCTTCACTAATGCTTCATCTAAAGAGTTTTCAACGCAAGAACTGTCCAAAATGAGATTGGTTAGTATAATAGGATACTTGGGATGATCATTCATAATATATTTTAAAATAAAAACATTAATACCTTGATATGGAACTGTTAAAACCACCGGTGATATTGGGTGCATCTCCAGAATAAATCAAAGGATACGTTTTATTATGAAGATCAAATGTATTCACCGAAACTCCCTGCATATACGTATATGTGTTTCTCAAACCATTCCCATAGATTTCTTAGTAGCAATCAAATTAGCGTTACCTCAAAAACCATGCCATTTCCCAACTGAAGCCTGGTGAAAAACTTTCTATCAATAGTGGAAGCAGCCACTGAAAGCGACCAGGGGGCAAAACTAGTCATGGTGAACAACTCAGGACCGGAGTTGCCGACAGCAATTGAGGTTAAAATGCCATTCTTCATTGCATGGAAAGATCCAATGGCATATACGTCCCGAAACAAGTTAGGATGGATCACCGAGGTTTCGCCGAGTGATACAGAAAGTATGTCGACGCCATCAGAGATTGCTTCGTCAAATGCTGCCAGAATTTCCGAGTCATGACAACCTGATCACCAACAAGGTTTGTACGCAGCAATACGAGCCGATGGGACTCCCCCTCTTGCTGTGCTGGAGCCTAGCCCATATAGACTCGCTGAGTTAACCCAGTTTCCTGCTGCTGTGGATGCACAGTGAGTGCCGTGGCCATCTGTATCCCTTGGTGATCCAATATCATCTTTGATGGGAAACCCATGCCCTACAAAGTATTTTGCGCCTACTATCTTGCTGCGCTTACACATGCACGCAAGTGTTTAATTTAGTGCTCACGGCCGTAATAATAGAACAGGTTAAAAATTTTCAATTTGCTATTTTTTAATAATAAATTTATCTTTTAAAGAAGGGTCTCTTATAAAATTATTTTTATCTTAAATTACATATATCAAAATAAAAAATATTTATAACATAAAAATATTAAATTGGATTTGAACCATTCAAAATTGATAGTTCAAATTAAGATGATTACTGAAATGTGCTAATTGGCACCCTTGTATGCAACATCAAATCATCATTGCACAGTCCCGGCATTTGATTTTTTCATATTATGATTAATTTAATCTATTTTTAAAATAATAAAATAATTTAAATTTAAAATATTAAGTAATAACAAAAATTGACTAAAGTGGTTAAACTAATTTGATAAGTTAATTCTCATAATTTAGAAAATAAAAACGAAATAATGAAATATAGAAGGATCTATAATGTATATTTATACTTGTTTTATATTACTATGGTTCTTAATATAAAACCTATTTAATTAATTTGATTAGATTAAAAAAGTTAGATAAGTTAGTTAATTATAAGAAATATGACATGTTTTTTTTTTTGGTGACAAAGGTGTTTTTTTTTCTAAAATACCATAATCATCTTTCTTATATTCTCCTTCTCTCTCTTTTAGTTGATCATGGTTGAGGGAGTATCCATAAGGGCAATTTAAGAAAAAATCGATAAATACGAGAAATATGTCTTATATTTAGGACCAAAATCAACTCAATAATTAGATCATATATTAAGGATCAGAGGAGTAATATACCCATATATAATTATTCATTTCCTGTCCTTAACGTAAGAGCTCGTTTGACTTTTATTTTGGTATTAAATATAAAATCCTAGTTTATTTTGTCTCTCATATTTATCTATTTTTTTAAGGTAATCATTGTAATAATGATAGTTTTTGCCAATATATGATTGTTAAGGATATTTTAGAAAAGATAACACATATTTATTATAAATAACTAATTTAACTAGTTTTCTTAATCCACTCAAATTAGTCAACTAGTATTTCAAATCCCCAGGTTTCCCCTTTTACTTTGGACTAGACCAAATTAAACACCATCAGCTTGTTGGTTTTCCAGTTCGTAGGTCCCATTCGTTTTTTTTCCCCTCCAAGTAAAACACATTTCTTTAATTTGAAGAGATGGTTTGAGACAATGAAAATGTATGGGCATGTACTTATTGCAAGTGAAGTTTTGGCAAGAGCCCTTCGACTTTCTGGGCGGCGGACCGAAACCTTGATCCTTAAAGCTGTGAGACTCTGGCCAAATTCCGTAATCGATTACTCCGACGATGAGGTCGCTCTCCAAACTTGCTCTGTTGACTTGCTGTGGGAACCCTATGAAGTCCCACGACCTCGTTGTTTGGGCCTTGTGCCTTTTGCTTTCAAACATAGAGATTATACCATCCATTCCTAATATATATAAATTTGGCTTGTTTATATATAGATGAAGAGGAAATTAAAAAAAGAAAAAAAGAAAAAAAGGATATATAAACTGTACCGCCCACTCTTTTGGCTTCCTCTTTTGTTAGCCTCGCCGCAAAGCCATTGAAACTCTTCCTGTAGCTGTGGACCAAAGCTTCTGGTGCAAAGTTTCTAAAACATAACCATTTGGGACTGTCGTGAGTCTCTTAATTATTCTACATCAAAGCCCTCTTTCGGATAATCTATCTTTTAACGTGCAAGGAACGTACGGTGGAATCGAATAACCCTCTAATGAATTATTAGTCAGTGATCACCGAATATAAAACTACAATTACTTCATTAATTGGCCAACGATGACTAATGAGTAGTCAGTGTGCGTTATGTTTCTGTTTCGTTACTTGTTAATTCTGGTTTACTGTTGCTAACAGATCCAGCTGCTCTACAGCTCATTGTACATGTGTCACTAGATCTTCTGCTCACTTAGGCTATATATAATAGTGCACTGTACTAGCCTCTTTCAGATAAGATCAATAAGAGCCAAATCAGTTTTCAATTCATTTATTCCTCTAAATTGGCATGGTATCAGAGCTTCTGCTTCTGGCAGAACTCCGATCACTGGCCGCATAAGATTTCATCATCGTTAATTGATCTCCATCATCTTGGATCGATCGGTTGACAAAGATGACGACATTGTCTGGCTCACAGTCTGGTACTACAGTGATGGATTCTTCTTCAGGATCCTCCATTCCAGGCTTTTCGAACAAAAAAATTAGTGTGAAATTGGATGAATCCAATTATCTTCTCTGGAAGCAGCAAGTTGCTTTCATGGTAAAGCAACACCGACTCAAAGGTTATCTAATGGGGACAGCTACTGTTCCACCTCCGAAGGTGCATGATACGGGAGGATCAGAGATTGATAATCCAGATTTTGAAGCATACGAAGCGGTGGACTCAGCTCTTGCGTCTTGGCTCCTTTCATCTGTGAGTCAGTCCATTCTTCCAGAGCTCGTCGGATTAGAATCGGCATCTCAAATCTGGATGAAATTAAATCGTCTTTACTCAAGCAAGTCTGCTTCGAAGGTCCTGTATTATAAGAACTTGCTTTCAAATCAAAAGAAAGGTGAAATGGCAATGCGAGACTACTTGGCCACAGTTAAATCCACCTGTGATCACCTAGCTATGTTGGGAGAACCAGTTCCTCAGTCAGCTCAGATTTCACATATCCTTAACAGATTAACTGCTGAGTTCGAACCGGTGATTGCTGTTATCAACGCTTCTCTGACCAACTTTGATCTAGATACAGTACAGTCGCTGTTGATTGACTCAGAAGCGAGACAGAAGGCTTTTATACAGAACACAGTGGCACATGCGAACTATACGACACATCTACCTTGGGATTATGGCATTGATGAACAGCCGCAAGTATACTCCTCACAAGCACCCTATATCTCACAGAACAATGGCGGTCGAGGCCCACCACGAGCACCATTTCCACCGAATCCGTTCATTGGACGCGGACGAGGTCGTGGACGATCATTTCCACCGAATCGAGTGTCGTGCCAGATCTGTCATCGCATGGGGCATACAGCTGATTGGTGCTACTGTAGGTACAATTTCTCTCCAAATCACACACCAAATTACTCTGCCAATGCCTACTTCACTGACTATGGCACATCAATTTACGATGACAATCACTATTATTCTGCATCTGTGCCTAATATTTCTGCTGGACATGAGTACCACAATCCGGCTTCGGCTGTTGCTTCTGATTCTTCTACCAAGTCCAGTGTGACTCCCTCTCAACCTACTGCTAGTAGTACTGAATTGCCATCTGCTCAAGCATTCATTGCTAGTCCACATATGGTCTCTGATGATGCCTGGTATGTTGACTCTGGAGCCACTCAGCACGTTGCTAAGTCTACGACTGGGCTACAGCAAACTATCACCGGTAATAACGGTAAGGTTATGGTAGGCAATGGCTTTGGCTTGGATATTACTCATACCGGAAATATACAACTTAAATCCCCCTCTTCTCAATTACTTATGAATAATGTGCTTTGTGTTCCTGCCATGAAGAAAATTTAATGTCTGTTGCTCAAACCACACAAGAAAATGGAGTCTCAATTGAATTCTTTCCACATGCTTGCTTTGTCAAGGATCTGAGAACAAAAAGGATACTGATGGATGGCGTTGAAACGAATCGTATGTACAAGATGGGAGCTGCTCCTCATGTCTGTCAATCTTCTGCTCCAACTAAGCCTGTGCCTATGTGCAATCAAGTAACTGTAGCTGACTCTCTCATGGTGTGGCATCATCGACTTGGACATCCAGCTATGGACACTGTCAAAGCCGTTCTAAAGCAAGCCTCTATTTCCTTTAATAACACTAGTACTCCAATTTCACTGTGTTCTGCTTGTCAATTTGGGAAAGCTCATAAACTTCCCTTTTCTGCGTCCTCCTCTGTATATCAGAAACCATTGGAGTTAATAACACTTGATCTTTGGGGACCTGCCCCTGTTCTGTCTCATGGCTTCAGTTACTATCTTGCAATTGTAGATGCTTACAGTAGATTTACATGGATTTTTCCATTATATAAAAAATCTAAAGCTTTGCAAAAATTCAAGGAGTTTAAGACGCTGGTTGAAAATAGACTAAACATAGGAATCAAGATGATACAATCTGATAATGGGGGGTGAGTTTCAGTGTTTTAAGCAATTTGTTGCTGCGTGTGGTATAGAACACCAGTTTACATGTCCATATACTTCAGAGCAAAATGGACTGGTTGAGAGAAGACACAGATTAATTGTTGAAACTGGATTGTCTCTACTTGCTCATGCAAATCTACCAATCTTCTACTGGTCAGATGCCTTCAGTACTGCTGTCTTCCTTTTAAACCGGTTGCCGAGCACTGCTATCCATGGTCAAACACCATTTGAAATGCTATACAAGTCCAAACCTGACTATTCTATCCTAAGGGTCTTTGGTTGTGAGTGCTTTCCTCTTCTTCGGCCTTACAACAAGCACAAACTAGAATATCGTTCTACTAAATGCATCTTCCTTGGGTACAGTCCACAACATAAAGGTTACAACTGCCTGGATATCCAAACTGGTCGCATTTTTGTCTCTAGACATGTTCGATTCAATGAACATGTATTTCCTCAGATTTCCCAAGTGAATGTTAAGAAGCTAGCTGAGAATAACAGGTCAGAAGAGTTGATGTCATCTCTATGTCCGATTGCCAAACCATCATTGCCCATTCTTTCAAACTCCACAGCTCCTCGAACCACCGACTCTTCCACATCACTGTCTTACACACAGACCGAACCAATCAATGAACAACCCATTCACAGCACTATCCCACACAGTCTTGCCACAACTTCTGACCAACCTGAGCCACCACCAATTTCTTCTCTACCTAATACTACTCATTCCATGACCCCACACAGTCCTGTCTCCATGACCCCACACAGTCCTGTCTCTGCCTCTGACCAACTTGCGCCACCACCACTTCCTTATCTACCTACTAATACTCATTCCATGGTGACTAGGGGAAAGAGTGGTATTTTTAAACCCAAAGTGTTTATGGCTATCGGAGATAACTCGATTCCTACCACCATTGAAGAAGCCTTTCAAGATCCTCTCTGGAAGCAAGCTGCTGAGGAGGAATTTAATTCTCTAATTAAATTTGGAACATGGGAATTGACTGAACTACTTAATGGACGAAAACCCATTGGATGCAAGTGGCTGTTTAAATCTAAACTTCACACTGATGGCACTTTAGCAAAGAGGAAAGGTAGATTGGTTGCAAAAGGTTATGTACAAGAAGCAGGCACAGACTACACTGAAACATTCAGCCTAGTAGTAAAAGCTATAACAGTTCGAATTCTGCTTACCATAGCTGTTACTAATGGCTGGAAACTTCACCAAGTTGATTTTAACAACGCCTTTCTAAATGGTGATTTACAAGAAGAGGTCTTCATGCAACAACCTCCAGGATTTGAACAGTTCAGTGCTAATGGTAGACCATTGGTGTGTAAATTGAAGAAAGCCATCTATGGCCTCAAACAAGCCCCCCGTGCATGGTTTCAAAAGCTTCATCATGCACTTGAAACTCTGGGGTTTCAAGCTTCAAGAGCTGACTCCTGCCTCTTTATTAAACAAGCAGGTGATACCACTATCTATCTCCTGGCTTATGTTGATGATCTTGTGATTTCTGGGAATTCTGAAGTTGCTGTGGAAAATTTGATTACACAAATGAGTGATATTTTTTCTCTAAAAGATCTTGGTGAGTTGTCCTTCTTCCTTGGGATAGAATTTACTTCTACTTCATCTGGGCTATTACTCACGCAGAGGAAATATATTGATCAACTACTGCAAAAAACAAATCTTTGGCTTACCACTGCGTATACTACTCCAATGGCAGTAAATGTTCACTTGCTACCAGGGGATAGTGCACTATTCTCAGATCCGTCACTATACAGGAGTATCCTTGGTACTCTGTAGTATGTGTGCTACACCAGACCAGATATAGCTTACACAGTCAACAAGCTGAGCCAATTCATGCATGAACCTACAGTCAAACAATGGGAATGTGTTGAAAGACTGTTGAGGTATCTTAAAGGTACATATACACATGGATTACTCATTAAATCAGCTCCAGCTCTTCGTATACAGGCCTTTGCAGATGTAGATTGGGGAGGTACTCGATCAGACAGGAAATCTACTAGTGGCTTCTGTACTTATTTAGGTCCAAACCCCATTACTTGGACTTCTTGAAAACAAGATGTAACCTCCAGATCTGCCACCGAATTTGAATATCGAAGTGTAGCGGATGCTGTGGTTGATATTATCTGGGTCATGACATTAGTAAAAGAAATGAAAATTAATGTTGTGGAAACACCAACCATCTGGTGTGATAATTCTGGCACTGTTGCTCTTTCTGCCAATCCAGTGCTGCACAACAAGTCCAAGCATGTGGAAATTGACCTCCATTTTATTAGGGAAAAAGTATCCGCTGGGATAGTACATGTGGGCTATGTTCCTTCATTTGATCAAGTTGCTGATATCTTGACCAAAGCACAGACTAGTGCAGTATTCAACTATTGCAAAAACAAACTTAATGTTGTATCCCTGGAAGCACCTGACCTGGTTTCAGATCGTTCAACTGCTGCAGAAAATGTTGATGCTTCTTAGCTAATCTAGTTTCTTTTTTTGCCTTGCTTATCCAAGCAGGGGGAATGTGCGTTATGTTTCTGTTTCGTTACTTGTTAATTCTGGTTTACTGTTGCTAACAGATCCAGCTGCTCTACAGCTCATTGTACACGTGTCACTAGATCTTCTGCTCACTTAGGCTATATATAATAGTGCACTGTACTAGCCTCTTTCAAATAAGATCAATAAGAGCCAAATCAGTTTTCAATTCATTTATTCCTCTAAATTGGCAGTCAGAACCTCCCAAGGACTCCTTGAACCATGCTCATGTGATGCAATTCTGTGACTTCGATTCCCTTCAGGAGATCCCCCATGTACACGACATACGTCTATCCAAAAAGTGATTAAACAAATGGTAAACCAATAAAGAAAACAGAGTGATGAGAAGCAATATATGAAGATCGTGACTTCATATATTGTAAAGAAAATTATGAAATAGATTAATCGATCAATATATGACAGAGAGACATTAGTTTACCTTTCGATCATCGGAGTGTGTCTGAATAATAAGAATACTGAAAAAAACAAGATAAGAGGAGATGCGTGGAGCTCAGAGAAAGCATGTTTTTATTTGCTAAATGAAACGACAGATCTTTTGGTTTTGATGTTTCTGAAGCAACCTGTCCGATGGTATATTTATAGGAAAAGGATCCAAGCTTGGTGCCCCAGTTTCCATCACACATGCACGGTTCACAATTTTTTGGGTAGAAAATCCGAATTTGCTTTTCATAATGCGGGTCCTGATCCATCTTTTCTCCCCCCCCCCCAATTTATTTGTTTGATCTGATATGATTTCACTAAAGTCTAAAGATTTTAACTTTTTCTCTTCAATTATGATTAATAGTGGTATTCATTTATTGTTTTAAAAAAAAGGTGCTGTCCCTTTTAAATCCGTGACTTACATCGAGATGTCTTTTTTTAATCGTTAAAGTACTGCCTTTTGGTAATGTTTTGACTCGTCCGATTTTCCAAACGGTGTTAAAATTCACTTTTCTTTACAAAACAGAAAAGAATTTGTAATATATTTAGTATCAATTCCATCAAATTTGTATCAGACCCCATTTCTGAAATGCTTTCAAATAAATACTCATTCGGTCCTTAATATAAGACTTATATAATTAATTTGATTAGATTATGGAAGTTAGGTAAGTTAATTAATTATAACAAATATGACATGTTTTTCCTAAAATACTATAATTATTTTTCTTAATATCCTCCCTCTCTTTTCTACTTAATTATAATTGAGAGAGTATTCATAAAAGTAATTTAAAAAAATTAATAAATATGAAAAATAAGTCTTAATTTGAAACCAAAATCAACTCAACAATTAAATCCTATATTAAGGACAGGAGAAGTAGTAAAACACATTATGTCCATATGGGTTATAGTTAAGTGTGAACTAAACTAGTGAGTTGGTTTGGTGTGAACTCAACTAGCTCAAAGCGCAGAAACGGCCAAAAAAAAAAAAAAGAGCTCAAAGTGGAAATCAAATTAATTTACCATAGCTAAAAATTGAAACGGGGCTACTAGCTAGGTTATTTATACTTGTTAACATCAGTGTTTTCATTAAAAGGCCAACCCTATAAATAGAATTACCTATAAAAATATATATGGGCTTATCCACATATACTGTTCTGCACTCGCACGTGTTGGTCAAATTAATTAAATTTTTTGACAATAAGATGTGAGTTTTAGGATTTATAAAGATGGGATGGAGAAATGAGTCTTATTAGTGTTTGTAGAAATATGATGCTTTTGCATTTCTTTGCTCCGATGATGTTTTGAACATTTTAATTTATTTATGTGTGTATGTGGCTTTTATTATCAATTATAATGCACGTGTCATCGATACTACCCTCATAAGATCTACATAATCAAAAGTTGAACAATTTAGTGAGATGGATTTCAAACCCAACAAGGCTTGATATATATATATATATATAGAGAGAGAGAGAGAGAGAAGCGGGTCATGGAAGACTAAAACCCCACGCTATAATGGAGTCAATGTATAGATAATGCTTTATTCAAAAGTTCACAATAATTGATGTCCTTGTAAATTTACTTTTATACGGGTCAGGTTGCTTTAGCCTTTGGAAGATGCTTTTTCTATAAGGAATTATAATATGATAAAGGATTTGGGTAAGACAAGGCCAAAACCACAAACTGTGCGCTTGAGCGGGACGTGCAGATTTAATCTCACAATGTTAAGGGGAGAATCATTTTGCTTTTTAATCAAAAAAAGGGAGAATTATTACATGTGTGTGTGTCTAGTCACTAGTTAACATCTTAAGCGGATGGGACAGAAATTACTATTACCATACACATTCCTAAAATATCTTCCATTTCATGTCGAGGGTAATGTTGGCAATAATGCTGTTCATTCTAAATTTTCATCAATTGTTAATAAATGACATGCACTTAGCTAGCCTCCAAAATGGAACCTCCAACACATGTACAACATAAACAAATTCAAAATGATCATTCGTTATCTCTTCTACTTCTTTCTCCTCCTCCTCTTCCCTTTGCATATTTCTCTCAGCTTTTCTTTTAAATATTTGTTTGATTATATATTTTGCAGATATTGTGTTTTGATTTTGTTTGTGAGTTCAATGCTTCTGGCCATCAACTTGGTGTGACGGAAAGTTTCAGAGATGGTTTTGCCCGTGGTGTAGTTTATGGTAGAGACTAGGAAGGGGATGAGGGCACAATGGGAATATTACAAATAACAAGGGTTAAGCTGGTGAATTCAGAAACACTCCCTTGCGGAGAGTTTCCCTCGGATTATTGATGGAAAGGCGTCTCCTTCATTTGAGGGAGAGTTGTTAGCCTTGGGGAGAATTTCTTCCTTGCACCAAACTCTAGAAAATCACCACTCCCTATCTTCATTTCCTTGGGCCTCTACACAAACATGACCCAAAACTAGTACCCTCTCTATAAGTTCTATAACTTCCAGCATGTTTATGGTCTTTCGTGGCTTTAATTTCCTTTTTCTCCCCTTCAATTCCAACTCGTCATCTAATGATAAAATAATATAAAAATTAATTCTAATACAGAAAATTATATATTATAATTTCAAAATATTAGTTAAAAAAAATAATTTTTTCACTTTTCAGAACAGGGAAAAGTTGAATAATATTTATAAAATATGACTGTTGTGAATAAATTTTCTTGTTCTCATATAGGGAATTAGAGACTGTATATAGTAGTAATGCATTGTGTTGGGAGGGGTGTCTCTTCTTCCCATCTCATCCTCTTTCCTTCTCTGTCTTTTCTAATAGTTACACTTTTACGTATAACTGGTGTATATCTATTAAAAAGCCACTCATAAAACTGCAAGGAAAAATATCTGCTTGCTTCTTCAAGGCATCAAGTTATTTAAGTTCAAAAGGGCATGTATTGCAGTTTTAAACAAAACCGTTGCTAAGTAAAAATTCTTAAAATTTGGGAGGAAAATCATTCCATAGGAATGCGTACACTGATTATCTTTATATATATGATATTTAAACGCACACATGCACCACTCGTTATCTTATATAGAAGTCTACAATGAAACATTAATTCATAAAATTAAACGCAATATAATAGCCCCTTTCATTACCAGGGAAAAAAAAAAACAAACAAACACAACATAACAGACTGGGCGTGTTTATTCTCCGAGTAATTGAAAGACACTCAAGTACGAATCATCATTTGCCGGTAGCACGAAGTCCGCTCTACGCACCAAGATTTTTCATTTTTTCTTCTTCTTTCCATGGGACAACACATGTAGCGAGGCTGATGATGGACACTACTTGAGTCTAAGATCATACACTACAATAGGGCTACTCACTTGCACATTGCCATCATCCCAAATCAAAGACGCAGAGACTATCCGCACATTTATGCGTCCTTCAATCGTAACTTTGAAAGATTTTTTCTCACCCACAAATGAGAACGACTGAACGTCTGGTGTCACTTGAATAGTTAACAGGGATGAAGGAACAATCACTTTAGCCTTGTATACCGACACAGGTGCACCAACATTTGTCACAGTCCTATGAAACACAACGCTAAAACTTTTTGAGATGCTTGTCTCAAAAGCGAAGGATGGGAGATTGAGATTCCTCACTGTTTCATTCTTAATTTTCTTACAGTTGATGACATCATGTGTAATGCGCCGTAATGTTTTTGTATCATAATGAGAAAGAAGCATGAAATAATCGTAGGAAAAGAAAAACCGGGGCTTTGCGAATCTACATGATTAATTAAAGGCGAGTCGATAGGTTAGTGGATTAGTACTCCTCCGGTCCTTAATATAAGACCCATTTAACTAATTTGATTAGATTAAGAAAGTTAGGTAAGTTAGTTAATTATAAGAAATATGACACGTTTTTCCTAAATACCATAATCATCTTTCTTAATACCCCCTCTTCCTTTTCTACTTGATTATAGTTAAGGGAGTATCTATAGGGATAATTTAGAGAAAAATGAAAAATTATGATAAATGGGTCTTATATTTAGGATCAAAACCAACTCAATAATTAATATATTACTAGTAGTCATTAGGGCAGACTTTATTGCTGCTGGGGACCAGTTGGGGTGAAACGATTTGACGTAGGCAGCTGCAGCAGAAGTATGAGGGCACGCCATTGAAGTTCCTGATATTATATTGAAGTTTGATTCCCTCTTGTCTCCTTTCACAGTCGAAACAGGGGACTTGGGAGGCCAAGCGGCTAAGATATCTACTCCTGGGGCAGTTATATCAGGCTACGTACAACAAGAAGAACAATTAGATAGTTTGAATCAATATTATTTCTTGAAGAAGGTTGCTACGTCTATACAAGTACTGCTTATAAGTTGTTGTGAACGTACGACCGTACTTTGAGAATGTCGGGAGTAATTGGATTCGGACCTCTTGATGAAAAGTAAGCTACGTATGGGGACAAGAAATCTTTGCCTTCATAGCTCTTAAAGCTGTCGGATTACTGCAAAATATTTGGGAGATGATTAGAACAAAGAAACATTAACTAAATTAATAAGAAATATCGATGAAGCTATAGCAAAATTTCATATGGAGATGCTGTTTGTTATTGGATGGATGTATACCTTGTTGAATTTAAGTAAGAGGGAATGGATTTGCCATCTTTCCGGGTAATCAAAGTGAGAGGAAAAGGAAAGGCATATGCCACATCCTTTGAGAAAATCATTGAAACGACGACACCAATGGCCCCAGCCCTTTGTGCATCATTATTGAGCGGAAAAGAATCACACATAACAATCTTCCCCTTCACCACTGCTTCATCTAAAGAGTTCTGAACGCAAGAACTGTCCAAAAATAAACAGTAATAATAATAATTAGAATAGTTTTGATGATTGGCTATAAACATTTTAATTAAAATAAAACAATAATATATATACCTCGATATGG